GAGGCACATCTATTCTCTTGCCACCCGTGGCAGGAAAGAAGCCTGAGAAGATCATAAGCCCCTCTCTCTCTATATCTCGAGAGTAGGCGTCGTACTGGTCTCGCAGACCAGATTGTATGAGTATATACACTGTACACTGTACACCAACATCCCTCCCCTCCATTCCATATCCCACCCCCCCCCCCATCAGCGTCCATCAAAGAGCCCAGCCTAAGAGCCCCCCGCCGCATTACTACTGACCGTCCTTTTCCACCCTCCCCATCCCCATCCCCCACCCGTCCCACTCGCCGCCTCTTTAGGAACAGGACTAGGCGTCACAGCCGGCGTTTGAGTAGGCGTCGCGAAGGGACTTCCTCCCATCGGACTACCATTCCCACTATACCCCCCTCCATTCGCTCCACCACCGCTACTCATAACCCTCTTCATACCCTCGAATCTTGACCTCATCTCCTCCAACTCCTGTCTCGCAACCGCCTCCGCCGTCTTCGCATTCACCAACTCGAGTAACAGCGCCTCACTATCCGCAGGCGAGTTATTCTCAGTCGCAAGCACACTCTGCGTAGCGAGCGAACTACTCCTCTTTGAAAACGGGACCGGCGGAGCAGTCGAGTTGTAATTATTGTAATACCCTCCCCTCTCGCTCTTCTGGCTATTCGTCCTGCCGAGCCTCAATTCCCGCAATCCACTCGTGTTGATAGAATCACTCGTTGTAGAACGGGATAGTGTGGGTGGTGTGTCTGGCGCATTCCCATGGCTACTATGATCGACACCTGTCCAAGACGCAGCTGCAGACTGTTTCCGCGCATTCTGCCTCAGTTCTTGGATGGACTTCTCGAGGCGCTGGTTTGCGTTGTAGCTATCTTGCAACCTATGTCTCGTATCCTTGAGCGCGTCACGTGCGATTTGCAATTCTGCGTCGCGGTCCGACAGATCGCGGGCCAGGGCGTTGGCGCGCAGGGTCTCGTTGGCGAGTTGCTCTTTTGTGCGGGACAAGTTGTCGCGGAGGAGGGCTTTTGTTTCGAACATGGAGGAGGCGCGGTGGTGCAGTGTGGCGGCTGGAAACCGGGATTCGAGCGTTTCGACGATTTCAGAGGCTTCTTCTGTGAGTTCGGGGGTGGAGGCGGCGTCGTCGGAGGAGGAAGGGGGAAGGGTGGTTGCGGAGGTTATTGTTGTGCGGCGGCGCGAGGAACGGGTTGAGGGTGCGGCGAGAGTGGTGGTTTTTTTGCGGACTTTGTCGACGACGGTGCGGACGATGCGGTGGTCTTCTTTGCGGTCTTCGCGCTGCTTTTGGAGGGCGGCTTCGAGTTCGCTGTTTTGGCGTTGGAGTTGGGAAACCGACATGAGGAGTTGTTCGATTTGATAGTGTAGGTCTCGGTCTTTTGACGATGCGCCCATGGCCATGGAGCCGTGTCCCGACTTCATCGACAGCGCGTCGCCATTCGAGGCGCGCGAAATATCCGTCATGGCTGTACTTTGTGTCGCAGCAGAAGCATCGGATTCGGCGGTAGAGTTGAGTGTCGAGGCGAGACTCTGCTTGGACGCCGAGCGCCTGAGGAAGCTAACAGGGCGTGAAGGCGCGGAGAGACCCGGGCTGAGTGAAACGGACTTGGTCGAAGAGTTGGAGGGACCCCACAGGCGGCCCAGGAAGCTCGTGGCAGATTTCTGGACTTGCTGCTTGGACGAATCCTTCTCCTGGGCCTCCTTGTACTGCTGCTCCAATCCCTGCAACCGCTCGCGCGTCACGTCGTTTGTGAAACCAACGAAATCACCGACCAATTCATCCGCCGACCCCGCGTTCCGCCCGTATGGGTCCCAGAGTTGGCGCCCCAAAAGCAACTGCATCACGTCCTCGAACTCACTCAGGGACAGCAGCTTTTGCTCGTTGCGCTTCATTAGCGCGAGGGCTACCCGCATGATCGTCTCGGATGCGCCCTCGGCAAATAGCACGTCGTAGATGCGAAACAGCATGGGTAGCGGACATGTGACAGCGAAGAACGACAGGAACCATTGCGATAGATATGCGGATTGCACTTCTAGATCGTCGAGATGCTGGGCTAGCTGAGGCATGTGTTGGTGGAGCAGCTTCTGGAACTGGAAGATGCGCAGATGGAGGCCGGAGAGGTCCGGCAGGAAACACGAGCGCAGATCGTAGTCTTCCATGAGCCTGGTGTTGTTAGTCGCTGACGTTGCGAGGAAAGTGCAATGACGTACCTCACGAGCACGCAAAAGGCTTCCTTATCGCCCATCTGCATGAGCAGCGGGCCGACGAGGAAACCAAGACCCTGGCAGTAGCCAATCTTGTGGTCATACAAGCTGAAGCACTTGAGCACGCGGCCGAGCATCTTCTGCCCCTCGCCCTCAGGGTCCTTGAACATCTCCACACCGGGGAAACTGCGTCCCAGGTCCTTGTTGATGATGTTCTCGTACGGACTCGACTCTCCGCACAGCGAGTCATATTGGTCCTCGATCAGCTTCTCCCTCGAGCCAGCTGCACTCTGCCAGACGACGCCCCGCAGCGGCGCTGGTATGCCTCCCCGAATCTTATTCAAGCAGAGCGTGGGCAGTCTGTGGACGGTCTGTGGGTAGTCGCGTACGAGGGCAGCCCAGAACTCGAGTTCGGTCATGGGGGGCGGCGAGGGCAGCTGGGAGAAGCGCATAGTGGCGGTGTCATCCGCCACGAGGCGCTTGAGCTGGTTGAAGGAGGGGGGCCGGGACTGGCTGCGGGCGCGGGCGACCTTCATGTTGGACTTTGAGTTTGAGAGGATGGCTTCGTTCTCCTGCTCCAGTCGGGCGAGCAGCAGGGCCATGGCCTAGATATGTTAGCATTCGTTCTTCACACAGGGGCCGGTCTACACACCTCCTCCTCGCCCTCGGGCTCCTGTTCTTCCTTTTTCTCTAGCTCAGCCCAGTCGACCTCTTCGCTTTTTCCCGAGCCATTGCTAGTACGCCGCCCCCTGCAGTCCGGCGCTGCTGTCTTGGGGGAGACGGGTGCGTCGGTGTCCCGCACTGAGATGGTAGGGCTGGTCGGGGCGGGCGTGTCAACGCTGGATTGGCTGGCGCGGCGTCCGAAGGCATTGCGGATTTCCGTTGAGTTGGTTCGTGATGATGCTCTTCGCTCCTCAACTATAATCTCTGGCCGCATCACCGATTCCCTCGCACCTTCCTCTTCCTCTGGGGTTCTGCCGTCCGTCTCGGAGAGGGGCACTGTGACCATCGAGTCTGTCGGCAGCGGCGAGCTGTCCACGTGTGACCTGGGCGCGCGCTCGACGGCTTCTTCTTTCACCTCCATGGTGATGCTTCCGCTGGACATGTTTGCTGTCTTCACGGTGGTGGTTCGATATGACGGAGCGGAAATTTGCTCTCCGCCGCGGCAGGTAGAAAGAACAGACCTGTTTACCTGTGGCGCTCGGTTCGGTGGTGCTGGTGTAGAGCGTGTTTCACTTCTGTGGAATTAGTATGCTGGCGCCGGCTTGAGTCGTGCACGCTGTGACTCTCTGGGTATTACTCTGCAGGCGGCATTCATGCAAACAGAAGAAAGTCAGAGCGACGGCGCAACAGCTCACGGCAGCACGAAAAGAGCGCGACGGACCGCAAAAGAGGGAATGATTTCCCCAACGGCCTTCGAAAGGAGCATCAAGGAGGCCCTGGACTAGGCCCGCAGCCAGCTAGACCCTCTTGGTCAGGGTCCACACTCGCCTTTGCTGCTTAATTTACGGCGGGACCAGCTGCTGCCCCTGGCCCCGCATCCCACCTACACCGACCTCACCTCCGCCTTTCCTATGGATCGAGCCCTTGATGCCACTGATTGCGCGACCAAGCGCTGATGTCACGACGCTGCCACTGGCAGCTGTCACAGCCATGCACGCGCAAATGGCGTGCACGAGGAACACGCGACGTAAACATGCGCGCCCACGCTAATTTCGGCGCCGGAGCCAATCACCGCCGCCGACACTCCGCATCCTCCTCACCAAGACCTCCCTCCCTCCAACACCCTCCGTCCGCATCGAGCGATCGCGCTTCTCCCATGCCCTCTTGAGTCGGCAGCGTCCTCCGTCGTGCTTGGCATCGCTTAACCGGGACGGGTGGTAATAGTACCTCAACACCTCCAGGGATTAACAAGAGACTACTCGAGTGCCCCTGCAGACCGCCTCTTGCTACGGCACAGTTGCTCCACACGAACTGCCCATCTTTTCCGTCTCTCGCGCCGAACTAGATGTACTGGTGTAGTCTGGGTTCTGGATCGCGACGATCAGTGGTATTCTCCGCTGATGCTCGTCTACAATTATCTCCGTCAAGCACTACCGTGATCGAAACTTTCCACATGCTGGACATATATTACAACACATCATACCTGACGGCTACACCGACTGCTGGACGCGGTGGAACTCTATTCAATAGCGCCAACGTGCTCAATCATCATTGTTACATTCTAGTATGCTCCTGCTCGTGGTGTCTCGCACTTTGCTAAGAACAATCTTCAGATAGGTCCACGTGAGTATCTTCACAACTAACTGACACCGACGAGCTGATGTTTTTCGCAAACCCTCTCGTCCTAGAAAAGATAAAAGATGGATACCACGCAGAATTGTCATTACCTTACCTTCTCAAGCGACTCACCATTGAAATTTGGATCTATATACACCATGCAAAAAGCCACAAAGCGTCCTATTCACGTCTTGATGTACCGAATACCAACGAGTACCATCGCTAGACCATAACAGTGCTTCGAATTATACAATGACTGACAAATGGTCTCCTTCACTATGTCGTTCTACTCGGAGAGAAGCTTTGACCATCATTGGAACTGGCTACACTGTTCTTTACACATTCACAAGGGTCTAGAAACAATTCGTGAATGGCCCGCAGCAGGAAGCTAGGCTACTATCATTCTGATCAATTCTCTGTTTACTTTATACCCCGCTTCCCATCCGTTGGTTTCCAAGTTCATACCCGCTGCTCAGATCATCAACTGAAACGATCCACCACTCAGTACCGTCAAGATGCCTCCGAAGCGAAAGAACGACGCACCCACTACACCAAAGCCCGCGAAGAAAGCCAAGACAAGCGGCACTCCCACGCGCACATCTCCGCGAAACAAGAAGAGCGGTAGTGAGACACCACCTCCAAACAGTACCGGCAAGAAGCCGAGGAAGCCGGCGCATCCCGGATCAAAAGCAGTCAAGGCCCCAGACGAAGACGCCAACTTCGAATGGGAGATTCTAGGCGGCGACGAACGCTCGACGCTCGTCGTCGGTAAGGATCAGGCAAATCGACTGACACTCACGTTCCACCATCGACATGACAGGAACGAGAAAGATCGAGTCTTTACATACGAAAGGAGGGAAGCGACTGATATCGACTGGAACTCCAAGGACCATATCAGGGACATCAACAAGTGGCGCAACCAAATCTTCGTCCAGAACATGAAGTTCCCTCCCAAAGTTACCCACACACCATGGACTCCGTTCGAGACCGCCTATCTCGAGCTGTTCCACGAAAAGCTTCTGGAAGCTGCTGCTGGGAAGACCGACACGTTCGTCGCGCCTCACAACGAACTCATCTACAAGGCTTTCAACGACTACTTTGAGGACCGGACCGATATTCGGGACAAGAACGGCAAACCCATAGAGGAGGGTCTCGGTACCAGGCCCCCGGGTGGACTAAATTCGTACCTCAACCGTGCTGGTACGACACTCCGTGGCCTGCGAGATCGCATGGGCGCGCTGAAACCTAAGCTCAAGAAGAGCAAGAAGGAGGATACTTGGATGCCTACCATCACGGATGACGAGATCGAGCTGTATATCAAAGGAGAGTGGGAGTCGGCTGTGGATACTACTACCGCTGCGGCTGATGACGAGGTCAATGAAGAAGAAGATGAAGAAGCTCAAGCTGAGGATGAAGTTGAAGAAGAGGATGAAGATCAAGCTGAGGAAGAAGAAGACAACGGTAATGTCTCCGATGGTTCTACTCTCACCACACCACCTGACACCGACGAAGAACTCGAAAGCATGGAGATTCTTGAGCGCGAACAACAAGCCAAACGTCTGGTAGTCAAGCTCAAGCTTAAACCCAGCACAGCCAGCAAGTTTCCAGGGGGCAAACGACCAGCCACTAAGCCTACAGGAAGCAAGCCTACAGTCACCAAGTCTACTGTCACCAAACCTACAGCCAACAATCCCGCATCAAACACGCGGAGTACTAGTAAGGCCACCTCGGGCAGGTCAAGCGCCCCTTCTTCTCCGCCACCTCCTCCAGAGAAAAGCACCAAGAAGACGAGCCCCGCCAAGAAAACGATGACTGATTCACGGAAAACGACGGAAGCGCCCGAAACGCCCGAAGCGCCCGAGCCAAAGGGAAAGCCGCGATGGGTCAAGCCAGCTGAGACGGCAGTCATACCAGATTCGCCAGAAGTTTTTGCAGCCGCGAAGAAAGCGGGCTGGAAGTGGTCGCCCATGCCCAAGTCAGACGAAGAAGCAGTCGCCCTACATCGCGCGTCCAAGCCCGCAGGCTCAGTCGACAATACATGGAACCATGAAGCGATCAAAGATCTTGATAAGCGCATCAAGAGGAACGAGAAGTATGATTTCAACCACGAGGCCTTCAACAGCGACTTGCAAGAGGACCCTTTTGTGAAGAAGAAGGCTGCTCGACGTGAGTTCGAGGATTGGCATGAGGGACATGCTCGCGAGGATGGCGCGGCGGCAGTCACTGCGATGCTCAACACCGCCGACATTCCGCCCATGGGATACATGGGTGACTTGAAAGATCTCGTCACGAAGAAGCAGTTACCCGAGGATGAGCTTGTGCTCGCTGAGTCCCGCGACGCTGCCATCAAGAAGAAGGACGCGCTCATGGAGAGGAAATCCAGGCCTAAGATGGATCAACCGCAGCAGAGGAATGTCATGAGCGATTCTGAGTCTACGGGCGATGAGTCTGTCGATGACGAGGATGATGATGAGGATGATGATGAGGAGCTTTGAGGAAGGAGCGGTTGAGACGACTGGAGAGTGGTATCGACGGTAGAGGTTACGGCTGTGTCATTACACCCCAAGGGTTTTGAGGATAGCTCGAGAAGTATGTAGTACCCAAAGTGAATTCTAGCGGCTCTATTGCATGACTGTGCGTCCAGAACACAGCTGACATATCTTGTTCTTTGTCGACACTCCGTATTTCATGAGACCAATGTTTCCTTTGTTGCGACAAAACACCCGCGTAGAACTGGCGCTGCATGCGTAACACTGTGAAGATAAAGAACAAAGAACCAGCGCGACGCATGTAAAGATGCGCGTTGCCGACGGATACTCGAAGCGCTGGACTCGGCAAATTGCTGGCTTTCCATCACACAACATCACATCATACTACAACACTCCAATTGACATGACCGATCAACGACCACGGGCTCCCGATGGCTTCAGCAACCCAACGTTAATCGAGAACTGGCCACCCGAGCCCGTGACCCAAGCGCACTTCGATGAATGGTTGACGAAGACGAGAGAAGCTTTGCTGGCATGGCTCACACAGTCCACACTAGCTGCTCAAGACGCGACGACGAGAGAGGCTATTAACAAACACAACAAGGCATCGAAGCAAAAGTGGGAAGAGTTGATAGCACCCATAGCGTTCGATGAGCGCGGAGACGCGATCGCCAAAGAGGATAAAGAGTTAATAGTGAAGAAACGCAAACCTGCAAAAGCCGCCAGCACTAAGGCCCATGGTCCGCATCAAACGTGGAGGAAGTTCATCGAGCATAGATATGCGCAGGCGTCATGGGAAGACTATCTCTACTACCAAAATGTTTGGAACCGGCGATTCCTCAACCCAGACAAAGATTACGCAGAGACCGACGCGGAGAAACTCGCCATCAAAGCAAGAGAGAAACTCCGCAAAGCGGCGACGGCGGATAACGAAGACGACGTTTTACCGTTGAAAGCGGTTGCGGATGAACAAGGCAAAGGCAAAGGCAAAGGCAAGCCCAGCAATGGAACACCTGGTCAGCTGGTAATCAAAGCGATGAGCAACGATAGAGAAAGCGCGTTTTACGAACCGTATATGGCGTGGCGAAACCATATGATTCGTCTTTATATAAGGTTTAAACTGGCCTATCGTAAACGTGCGCCTGCTGTTATTGAACCTGACGTTGCGCATCGGTACAGTCAACCACCGCGCGGAACGACGCCACAACAGCTACCACGCTTCAAAAGGCGATACAAACACCTCGAAGAGCGTTTTCCGAGGAGGAGAAGACAGGTGATCGATGTGAATGAGGTGGAAGAAGAGTATCGCCCGGAGGTTAAGCGGCAGAAGGACAAGGAGCTTGAGAGGAAGGGTCGTATGGTGGATATTACATGGCGTATCAACAAAACTGCCTATCGAAACAAGAAGAATGAGACGGATAAGGACTCTGGATATAGCACCAACCCCCTCACTCTAGCGTTACTACCAGCAGACCATGTACCACACCACGGAAGCACAGAAACCAGCTTCAACTGGCCTACTTCCTTCGACTCACCTGCTTGGGGGACTACAAGATCTGTAACCGTCATTCAACGAGACTTCCAATACGAAAGAGTCGAAGACACCATTCCCAACGACAACAATAACAACAACGACGAGCACGACAACAACGCCGCAGGCCAGCCAACCCGCAAACCCACCCCTTACAAAACCGACGCATCCGGCACCCGCATCAAGAAACTCGACCCAACCCCCCGCTACCAAAAAGAGTACCGCGTGGAGCAAGAAGAAATCTTCATCCACAACCGCCTGCCCAACAACGAAGTAGCCGGCCGCGACCGCCACGGGAAATGGATCGGCCGTTTCGAAATGAGCAATGTGCGTAACGAGTACCCCGCGGAAGACTCAGCTGGTAACCGCATCTTATTACCACCCCGCTACATGACGAGGAACAAGTTCAAGACCCGGGTTGAAGATATGGGTAGCGTTAGGATGACGCGGTCGCAGAGACATGTTGATCGAGGTATTATGGAGGAGATTTCTGGGGATGAGGATGAGGGATGTGTGCACTCGAATGCCAATTTCTCGAGATCGGGGAATGTTAATCCGGAGCAATTGGGGAATCCTTGGGCGTACAACCTCGATAGCGACGGAGATGGGGAAGGTGTTGGTCACCCTGGTGATAGCGATGACGATGATAGTGACGATGACGGCGATTTGTTTGCGGAGTCGTATAGGGAGTGCTCGGAGAGTCCTGCGACGAGGCGAGCAAGGATGTTGTTGGAGGATATGCGGGAGAGGTTTGGTGTGCTTGGGAGCTGGACTGTGCAAACTGTTAGGGATTTGCAACGGCATGGTGATGATGGTTCTGTGGTTGTTGAAGATGATGAGATTATAGATTGGTATAAGAGCGAGACGGAGGGGTCGTAGGTCGTAGGTATGATCGATGTTTGCTATCTCCTTCAAGTTGGTATCACCTGTGTCCTGTGAGCTTGACCAGACTTGATGCTCGACTGTCAGCATCGCACACGCCGAACGATGTAGTGAAAGACACGAATCGGTGGCGCTAATCCGTTGCGTGCTCGAAAACTCAAGGTAGCCACCGCGCACTGACCATCACAACAGTGAGTAGTCGATAACTATTTGCTACAAGTTAGCAACCACCTACAATCAACTCGTTAAAGACACCCACAACCCTTTGTCGCTCTCTAGGCACTTTAAACTATCACGACCCGACCGAACACGCTCTTCGCATAGCCACCATGAGTGACATCATCATGCCAGATGCGACCGCCGCAGAAGAAAGCCGTCCCCAGGACACATCTACACCCACCCAAAACGTCGCTGATGAAGTAGCGACTATCCCCTTGAGCATCAGTGCTGCGGCGTCTTCAGAGGAAAGCCGCCCCCAGGACACATCCAACCCCACCCAAGACATTCCCGATGAAGCAGCGAGCACTTCATTGAGCATCGGAGATGCGGTCGTCACAGATGAAAGCCGTCCCCTGGACGCACCCGCACCTATCCACGACGTTCCCGATGAAGCAGCGAGCACTCTCCGGAGCAGCGAAGATGCGGTCGCCCCAGAGGGAAGCCGTCCCCAGGACATACCCACACCCACTCAAGATGTTCCCGATGAAGTAGCGAGCACTCCCTGGAGCGTCGACGAGCGCCTTTTCATCGAGTTGCAAGCCGGCTTTGCACTCACCGCCGCCTTCCTGCCCATCTGTACAGTACTCCCGCCGACTGGTCAGAGCTACTACTACGTCTTTCGCCGGTTCTTTAGGACTGAGGATCAAGATACCTCCGAGATCACTCCCGAACAGGACGCCGCCGCAACCCCGAGAACCCAAGAAGAGTACCTGCTCAAACAACAGGAGCTGGTACATTGGGCGCTGAACAAGACGGATGAATTAGCGCGGAAGGCGATGAAGACCGGCGAGTTCATGAGGGGTAAGATGTGGATAATTGAGCAGGAAGTCTTCGACAAGTACCGAGAGATTCGCGAAGACTATGGCCTCGAATTGCCGATCGAAGACCCGAGGCAGACCAAGGAGATTCGCGAATTCCTGTATCGTATCGTTTGCGCAAGGTTTCCTAAATCGTTGGGACACAGTCCTACCAGCTCAGACGCGGACGAGAATCACACCGCTGCGGACAATAATGACGACGACATGTATGAAGGCTCGACCCTTAGCTCTCCGCCCGAAGACGACCTTGAGAATACAGAGAGCGCTTTGCCGCCGGAGGAAGATGCACCAGCCACGGAGGAGACTACACGACGGACACGTACGAGGGTCAGGAAGTCCACCGCCGCCCTCGACGACGACAACGCATTCCCACCGATCCGTCAGTCCGGTCGAAAAGTCCGTGTAACCGGCAAAGCGAAACAGGCGCAGACAGGTACAAAACGTACCAGGCGAAACACAGTGGTGGGAGAGGAGAGTGAAGATGAGCATGAGGATGGAGACGAAAACATCGCGGAAGATGAAGAAGAGGAAGAGGGCGGAGCGTCACCGAAGAAGCGCGCCAAGAAGGCCATCCGGAAAACCGCCCAGAAGACCGCAAAGCCAAAGATCAAGAAGGGTCATGGACCGAATCGGAAGCTGAACGATGCCTGGTCGCAAGCAGAGCGCGAGGTCATCATAGCGCTCTTCAACAAGATCATAGCCGAAAAGGGCCTGATCTACTGGGCGAACAACATCAGTGCCCTCTTCTACGAGGCTACCGACGCCGTGAACGCTCATAGGGCCCTAGACAAGATTACGTATCCAGGTGACCCTCGCGGGATGGACGGTGTCCGCACTCAGGTCCACAAGAAGGCTGCCTACAAGCGCATTAAAGACCGAGCTGACGCGCTGAGGACTAGGAAGGCCGATCCGAAGAATACCGTGACAGAGGCAGAGCTGAAGCCTCGGGATGTGTTCAAGGCGACGGATCTTGAGCCCGATAGCGGCAAGAAATGAGGACAAGGAGAGGAAATTGGATGAAGAAGGTGGTGTCGATGTATTTAGCGGATTTCGATGAATGGGCGGGACGTAGGTGGTCTTGGAGTATATGTCCGTCGGGGCGACATCAAGGCAACGGCTTTCGCCAATGAGCTGGAAGGTGGTGACTGAAGGTAGCGCTGTAGATTGGACAAGGCGTGAGTGGCGCTGTGAGGAACCGACGATCAGCAATTCTCGAGGCCGTCGCCCGTTACTATAGCAATGAAAAGATGAAAGATATATATCCAAATGTGCTGGTTGTGCTTACTGAGTGTCTTCACGACGCGCGCCTGCTTAAGAGGGAATGGCATGCGTTTGCCTGAATAGATTGAGCCTGTCACGAGGAACATACGTGCGTGCGGCGAAAGTCATTTGGGCAGAGGGATGCGAGCAAGTCGTGATGCGATGGCGGAAGACGACAAAGCCAGGCGCCAAGGTGAGGTTGAGGTTTGCAGCTAGTAGGTCATGACGTCACTGCCGACGCGTCGATGCGGGAAACCTCCTCACCGAACCCGATACCTACTGTTAAGCATCCTCCTAAACCGCGTCGCAATGCTCTCACGCTCTTTATCTTCGTCAAAAGAGCGGTCGAACAATATGCGACAGGCTGCAGACACAATGCCTTTTACTACGCAGTACTACCGCTACTGCGTCTATTCCAGCCCGAGCCGACCTCAATACTCGACCATGCAGACTATTCTTTCACCTCTGGGCACCCCAAAACACGCGACATGCTATGTAGATCCGCTGCATACGCGGGCACCATGACCATGAATTAGTCCTTCTGGTCAAAGCGCATCGTAGAAAGCCTCTCACGGTATTGCGCAGCTTTGCAGCCCGGTAACCCTGATACAGCTGAGCATCGCTGATCTGAGCCGTCAATCTCACGAGACGTCCGCGCGACATACACGCAAACAATAAGCGTGTAGGCGTGGCTTGCCAAATGACATGCTGAAGAGGGCCATGCATCGATATCAACACGCGGGAAAGGTATCGCGTGTCGCTTGCTGCTAGAAGCGCGCGAGGAAGGTCGAAAGCTAATCAAGTATAAAGACTGGTGTCATCGAATGAGTTACTGACAGACTATCGTTACTTCACAGTACCATGGCTTCAGAGGATCACTACAAACACGCAATATTACTCTACGCCCGTCTCAAGGCTGAAGCCGGCGACTACCCGCACTGGAATGGATTACACATCTACGACATGATCAAGGAGGGTGTTAGCGACGAACACATCGAAGCCGAGTGGAAGTATGCTTTGTCGGTGCATCAAGACTTCAAGAGTGAAGCGGCAGAGGTCCTATCGCGCTTGAGAAGGTTGAGTGTTGACCGTTCTCACATCAGCGAATATCTTATTGCACTATGGATGAACGAAGGAGTGCCGGAACGAACCATGGCCTTGCAGTACCTTCTGACTACACTTGCGCCAACTACCGAGGACCCGAAAGCATGCTTGACTGAGCTGGAAGATCAAATGGGCCCTTGTCCATCGATGACGGAAGAGTACATCCTGAGCTGCATCCATAAGGGTACTCCCGGCGTAGAACTTACTGGTGAGTATGCAAGACGTGTATACGAAGCGCAATTGGCAGAGCAAGTAGACTTCGCAGACCCTATGTCCGACGAGGACTTGTGGTTCGAGCTGCATTTCGGTCTTTTATACGCTACCACTAAACTTCCGTCGGCACCCATCGTTTTGCGGCATCCAGAGCGCTCCCTGGATCAATACAACATGTACTTCAACGACAGTTCTGGCATAGACATGAGTCTCTTCAACGCCAAAACAGATAGATTGGCAGTAAAAACGGCCATGAATTTACACTGGCGAGTGAACCTATTCATCAGAGAGGGCGATCACCCAAAAGCCTTGCGAACGACCATCACAGCAGAACATCTCGAAGCATATCGGAAGATACGTGACAACGTCATCGATGATGAGAGCAACCTAGATGTGGAGAGTCATGGCGCGCTCTGGCAGTTCCTCATGGACCTAGCAGCAGAGTTGCATCCAGATCCACCCTCACCACAGGATCCCGAGCGCGGCCCCATGCCGTCTACTCATGTAGCCAAGCCGACCACAGGATCCAGGCCGCGATGGACCACGGCCGAACGAAGCGCCCTTTGGCGCTGCATTAACAGGTGGTGCAACAAAAACGGCGTGGACCAGTTCGAGCTACACAAATTCAAGAAGGCCAAATGTATAGAATTTGCGGAGGAGATAAAGGCAGATTGTGCAGAGAAAGGTGAGGTGTCAAATCGCAGCCCAACTAGCGTCTACAATCAGATAAAAGATGCGCATCGCAAGGACGACCCTACGGTACCGAACTGGCGGATCACAGATTTGTTCAACCGTGCAGAGGAAATGAGAGAGATAATCGCACGCGGCGACCATGTTTCGAAGAAGGAAAGACGTCCGAAAGCAGCCATCAAGGTTCCAGGGGATGATGAGTCTGAGGATGGATTGGAAGGTTCTGATACGGATGAAGACTAAAGGGTCTCTAGATTAGATAAGGTAGATGTCAGCTACAATGAAACTTAGCCTTCCTTCATGACCTAGCACTGAGTTTACAGGGTGAGCCTGATAGTGTTATGCCGAGCAAATTACGAGGATGCTGTGAACAGTGTGAGATGGTGGCAACGTAGTGGTAGGACAAGTAATCTTCACGTGGTTCCGCGCGATTGTTATAGCCCAGCGTGACTTGGTCATAGAACCATCTTGATACCGTCCCTCGCAAACACCCTGGCGTATAAATTAGTAGACCACTATGGCGTTACCTTCGATCAGCACACAAAGTTATCACCATGACCGACAACCTCGATACCTCAGCCACCCCGACCACCCAATGGAACGCGGATCAGCGTGCGTGGATTCAACTTTACTACAAGCTCTTGTTGCAATCCAGACGCCAATACCGATCCTTCCCGGTTTGTACTAGTGATAGCGTAGCTGCCATTGCTCACCGAATGTTCTACCGCAGCCCTGAAGAGAGGCAAAATGGCATCCATCTACACTCTGTAGAGGACGAGGCGATCTACAAGGCCTCGTTCATTCGCTACCGGAACGCCGCGATGCCGAATCTACTGTCTTATATCGTGCAACTCTGCGAGGATACTACCGAGTTGGACTCTCGTTGCAGCGTACCTCAGGTCTTCATCAACAGGCCCATGCTAGACGAATACATCAGGATCAGCGGGGCGTATGCAGGTGGCCTAGAAAACGATACTCCACAGCCTTGGGAGTCGCAGACTGCTCTCTGGGAGTTCATCTCAAAGGCAGTAAGCGAGAAGTTCATTCATCGTGGGGTTCTGCGCAGCCAGGATACTGTTGTGCAGTCGTTCGCTCGAGTCACTCTGGGCAGCGGAAATTACCCACCACCGCCCTCTGACGACGAGCGCGCAGAGTTGATGCTGCTGCAGCGACTCATTCAGCGTCGACTAACTAGAGCAAACGATGGCAATTTAGACGATAGCACAGCGTAGGGGCCATAGCGGCTTGATCCATGTAAGTACTGAATTTGCTGGGGTCTCGTTCCAGCATCTCGCATGGAAAGAAGTTCGATTTCAGGCAATCCATACACCATATTCACTTCATAGTCATCCAAAATATCGCTTTTGTGGCCCAATACTGTGCACGCGACGAGTCCTCAGTACACTCATAGGGCCTGATCCCCACATGCTCTTGATAAGTGCATTCTATCTGCGAGCGAAATGAAAATTGACTGTATGATACTGATTGGACACTCTATCTCGAAGCGTACACATCCAAAACCTCCCTCAGGTGAGCGATGACGACTTCACAATGTTTATCTTATCCAGTAGGCTGCGTCTTGCCATTCGGTACCCGACGACGCACCTGAGCCCTGCCGGTACCAACATAGGGCCCACTGGCCGTGGTGGACAATGATCCTGGCGCACGGACAGCCTTTGCGCTGACATGGGCCGCAAGCTTCACACTCGCCAACCTGGTGCGTAATACTTGATACTTTCCCTCTTGCAATCACGAAATTCTGCACACAGCATCCTTTTTTTCATTCGCCGGCCGACTACTAACCCTGACCATATTGGCATAGGTATTGTGGTGGATGGCCTGGGTTGCGTCATATTGGGCGTCGTTCTTGGCGCTGAAATAGGACTGGAAACTTTCTATAACTTTCTCTTGAGCGCCGGGAGACAACTCGTGGAGCTTATGATAGCTGATTCCGCCTGCACCCAAGACGCAGAATAGCCAAGTTATGTCATCGGCAGAGAAGATAGGCGGCATTCTCTGGGATGATAACACGTCTTTCTTCCGCTTGTTCGATCGCTGTGTCGATGACTGATCTTGGTCAAGTTCGTGCGATCGCTTGTCGATGGTTGATGTGGGCGCGATCCCAAATTCGTTGAGGGCTGGGCATCATGTTAGTGCTGGTGGAAGTTTAGGCTTCGAGGAAGCATGCCTGCGCTACTCACTGTCTTGATCCAGGCTGAACCCCGAGCCATTAGAAGTATGTGACGGAGACGGATGAACCTCATGGCCTTGGCCATGACTACCATGCGAGCGAGATGTTCGCTCCAGCCTCGAAATGGGCGTTACCGAAGACGAGGAGCTGTCCATTTCTCTGCTTTGGCTCAAGCGCGGCTGGATTAGGGGGTACGACTCTACCATCTTACCGCCTCCAGGCTTGGGTATGATATCGTAGAGTATCCGATACTGCTTTTCCGAGTCGGAGAGCTGCTTCTGAGTGTCTGAGAGTTCTTTTGTGGTGTTGGAAAGCTGTTCCTGCGTATGCAACCTCTCTGCGTGCTCTTTCTTGGTAGCGGAGCGAGCATCGCGCAATCCCAGCTGGAGTTGAGTAATGATGGTCTCATGCTCCTCTCTTATCTTCGCTATCTCCGCGGCGTGCTCAGAGCCCTTAATTCGCAAATCTTCCTCTGCTCTAAAATATACGATACGTAACCCGGCCAATGCGATGTCCTCGTCGGGATCATTCTTGGCTCGTGCGCCTGTTATGTATCACTCGTTAGTCTGCACACTCAACAAAAGCTCACACTTCTTCATTCAAGAACCAACGTTTTTGTCCTCTTCGGATAACTCACCTGCAGGGCCAAGTTGCTCTTGAAGTTCAGCGATCTCAGTCTCTTTCGCCTTGCATGTCTCGCAAAGCTCTTCATTCTTGTCCTCTTGATCCTTCAATGCCGTGATGTTCTCTTTGAGGGCATCGTTTTTCTCCCACAGCCGTCCGATTTTGACGTACAGATCGTTCAGTTTCGTTTTCTGTTCCCCAACGGTAATGAGAGCAGCATCGCGTTCACGTCGAAGTTGAGACTCGCTCTCGTTGACCTTGCTCACTGGGTCTATCAGACTTTGTGAATATTCCGAGATAACAGTACTATCGTCATTGAGGCGCGTCTTGAAGCCGGTAGCGGTAGTGGTGAGTTCTGGGGTAAGTTCACGGGCTTCGGAATCATTGCGCGTATCACTGGATTGAGTGTCGCAATGCTGCTGAGCAGCTTGCCCATCGAGGAGGCTTGGACGCGACATTTCTCACATCCGGGACGATGGGAACTGGGCGAGAGCGGAGAGACAGGATGAGTAGTGACAAGGGTGTGGAGGGCGCGGTGGGGGTGCGACGCGTGCGCTTCAGGAAAGAGCAAACGGGCTTTATCACGTGCGTGTTAGTCAGCGCGAGTTGAGAAACAGCGCATCAGTTGAACTTTGGCCTGTTCGATGGTATATAAAAATGAGAATAGTCGAGGATGCAATATTAATGACTTGATCCGCCCGATTAATGTTCCAATAGTACTATCATGAACTACCATAGCTTCCATGAGCTCCGCGCTTCGACAGTACCGTTGCAAGGGACTGTCGTGCCATTGCTTGAGCTAACAACACCCTTGCTCTGGATTCCAGTACCTTCGCTCGTGCTTTCGGTACCGTTGCTCGGGCTCCCAACGGTAGTCACCCTGCCTAAAGATGGACGTGCGAAGTCAGCAAATGTCTCACAACAGTTCGTACATGGATACTACTTGCTGTTACCATTGAACGCGAGTAGGTTGACCGAGCCCATTGGATCCGTCACAACATTGGGCGTAGCTAGCGCATACACCCTCGCCTTGACATCGGCAGCAGTTGACGGCCCTTCAAGACCACGGAGGTACGAGACCAAGCCCGCTACGTGAGGAGATGCCATGGAAGTACCGGTCAGCGTCCTCGTCTCTGTGTCGCCCAGGTTGGATGCCGATACAATGTTCGTTCCAGCAGCAAAGATGTCGACCGCAGCGCCGTAGTTGGAGCCTCCACCGCCGCTGTGTCTCTTGTTGGTGATTTCGATGTTACCAACACAGATAACTTCAGGGGAGCGAGCTGGCGAGCTGTTGATAGCAGGGGAATCCTCGTTTCCTGCTGATGTCACGACGAGAACGCCCTTCTTCCATGCTGCAGTGATAGCGGCATCCCATGTTGTTGACGCGGAAGAGCCGAGCGAGACGTTGATGACGGCGGTGTTTTGGCGGCCCTTGGAAACGATGTCGTTGACCGTCCAGTCAAATCCAGCGAAGACATCTGATGCGCTTCCGGTGTCACTGTCCAAGACCTTCACGCCGATGATGTTGGTCTTCTTAGCAACACCGTACTTGGCGCCACCCACGGTTCCAGCTACATGTCTAGGACTTGTCAGGATGTGAAAATGCATGTCTTAAGGGGTGTGACTTACGTTCCATGGCCTTCGTTGTCGGCGTCGGCGGTGCCTCTCACAGCATTGTAGCCCCAGGTTGCTCGTCCCTCGAAGTCGCTATGGCTGATACGAACACCAGTATCTTAAAGATAATGTCAATACCAAGTCAATGTATTCATCAGTTTCGTGACTTACCCATAACGTAGGAGAAGGTACCCTTGCCCGCGGTGTCATCATACACGTATGAAGTGGCTCCTACCTTGCGGGAAGAGATGCTGGCTAGACCCCACGGTGCGTTCGCTTGAGTCACCACCGCGTTGATCCTCACGATAAAGTCCGGTTCAATGGTGAGGACCTCGGGGAGAGCCTTCAGCTCTTCAACGGTCGCCTCATCGAACGACCCAGCGTAGGCTTTGAAGTCGCCAAACCCGTACTCGCGGTCCACTGGAGCACCAACGGGGCCATCGTCGCCTCGTCGAGCCAGGTTGCGGGCATGTATGCTGCGCACAGTGTTGTGGTGGGCTGCGATGGATGCAACGTCGGTATCAGGCTTCAGCTGAACGATGTATTTTCCGGGGATGATCTCGTTTGCTGGAGGCGCCACAACGGGAGCAGCTTGGACCAGGAAAGGGGCTGCAGCTGCAGCGAGCGCGGTGATGCGGGTGAAGAACTGCATTTTGCCTGTGGATCGTGGGTGCGGCGTGTGGAAATCAAGGTCGATTTGCCAACTACTGCTGGACTACGTGCGCTTTTTGACTTGCACCATCTTCGTCGCAGAGGCTACTGTACGAGTAATCGTTAATCCAAGCATCGCGCTTTTCTTGACTACTGCCTGTTTGGGCTCAGCTCCCGTAATGTAGTTCGTATAAGAGGCGATGCCGGTAGCGGTAGATGAGAATCTTCCGACTCATGGTCGGCCAAGACGGTCGCGCCAGGGGTAATTTTGGAAACGGGATGGCAAACAACCCTGTTCTTCCGGCCAGCGCTTTCCATTTCGAGCGTGACTACCGGGCGCGAGGCGATGAACACGGGATCCGGCGTCGTATTCTGTGGATAGATCCCACATCGGAATGCACTCCGCAAAATCGGGCCTTGTAGAATCAATGCCATTGTTCGCGACAACAGAACAGGCAGGTTCCAAGAGTCTGTATATTGCGAAAGGCTCGAAAATATGGGGAGAGATAAGGATCAGTCTGGGCAATAGGGCACTATCAAGGGTAAAGGGCAGTAGATGATGCAAAACGCCGTTCAGAGTGGTGGACTTTTCGGAGAGAACAGTCTGCGGTGCATCTCGAGCCGTATTGCATCAGTCCAACAGACGCAAAGAGAAGGAGAACATCCAGCCAAGAGGTAACATGGTGAAGTATTGACTTGAATTGCGTGATGATCTCGTACTGGAAGAATCCGCTGGGCGGGCGGTCCCGAGATCTTGAGCGGCTTGCGGCAGATATCGGCGCGACTACGGAAGTAGATAGCGAAGACTATCAGTCCTGTTCATTGAGCTGGTTGCTGATTTGACACCGGCCAGTCGCTGCTTCGTGGCATCTGTGTTTGCCGGTCCGCAAAGGGCTGGCAGTCGTCGACGCATGATGTGTGTAGATGATGGATATGCGGGTGAAAAGGAGTAGCGAGAAAGCCGCTCCGGTCAAGAACAGGCTAGAGTGGTAGCGCTAGATGACTCAGCAACTCCCGAGGTCCCTGGCGCCAGGGTGGCGTGTCGAAGCTGTTGCAAACTTCAACACCACAGAACAATGGTCACGCCTCGTGGAGGACTGCATCAACCTGCATAATTACATATCTTCGCTGATATACCACGGTAGCTTGGGACAGTGCGTAATGGACAGATTGAACAAATGGACTACCTAGGTATACAAGAAGTCCAATTCCCTTCCGCCTGACCTTAATGCGCCTCTAGCTGTGTCATTGAGCGCACTACCTTCGTCTTCCACGCAAACCGCTGATGACAATGGCGAGACCTTCCATCTCTACCTGGGCCGAATTCTTGCTGACTCCTTCTCACCCCACAACGCCTCTGACAAAAGAACAAGTCTAGTCATCGTCTTCAAGTACTTCTTCCTCATCACCATCGCCAAACTCAAGGATCATGTCAACTTCGCGGTTGATATCCTCATCGTCGTCAATTGTCTCATCGACTTGCTTAGCAGCATATGCCTCATTACGAGCATCCATCTCGGCCTTGGTAAGATGCGCGTCTCGTCCAGGTTGTATCCTGCCTTTGGCACTAAGCCTGGGACGTTTATCAGACTTGCGCGGGGAAGAGGGCGGCAAATCGTCGTCATCGTCATCTTCGTCAGAGCCAGATTCGATGGAAGTCTCGTCGTCGGAATCGAGCTTACGCTTCTTGCCGGATTTGTTGTGTTCGGACGATGTCTGCGGGTTCGCCTTTGCCAAGAAGTCGGCGACGTCGATAGCCTGATCAGGATAGCGCTCGTCGTCCGGGATGCTTTCACCAGCTTCAATACGCGCAGCCAGCTTCTGGCCCTCGATGTATAGCATTCCCAGGGGCTCGTTGGGTTTATTGGTGATCTGCTGTCTCGCCCAACCACTGACCGAGTCAACTGAACGCAGAAACCCTGTCTTTGACACAAGAGCAGCCTGGAGATCCTCCCTCCCACTCTCCATAACCCGAGGTAGGAGCTTGTCCACGCCGTTCTTCTTGACCCAAGTGTTCACCCACTCGTAAACGATGGCACGCTCGTCATCGGTCCAGGGATCACGCATCTTGGTCGTCTCACCAGTGTCGCGATTGCGCCACTGCGAGAGCTTCTTGCGGTACTTTAAAACCGAAGTATCATCGTTAAGATCGATTCGGTCAAGGTGGTCGAGGTCGACGAGGTGTTCGTGAATGTACGCATCTGTGGCTGTGTCGAAGACCATAAACTTGAAGGTAGGTGTCCAGCTTGTCTCGCCGCGCGTCCAAGTCTTTCCGTCATCTGATCTCTGCCAATACGTGTTTTTCTGCTTGTTCGGGATCGTGACGGTCGTAGGATCGGGTATCAGATACTTGGGACGAGTCTTGTCGCGCCACATCCTGGTCAACTCGTCTTTGCTGTACTTGGTGGCAATTTCTGGGATGACGTCCATTTGCGCGAAGACGTTCCCGAGCGGAGTGTTCATACGGTGATACACCCGAATTTGGTCGCGGTTATCCATCACGCGCATGAACTCTTCGGCATCGAGCCGCGCCGTCTGATTGAATACCGGCTTGGGTGACGTGTGTTGCCAATCGTCGAAGTTATACTGCAGTGTGAATATGGACTCGAATACCGGAATCACCTTACTGAACTTGGTCGGGTTCGTCCAAGGGTCGACATCAGGGTCAATGCATTTTTTCCTGGCCTTCTCCACCCACGCACCGTACATGGTTACCAGATTTTTGGCCAAGAATAGCTGCGAGAGTGATTGATGCTCCGGATTCCTGTCTCCGTGCACGCGGTTCTTGGGCTCCGCGTTCAGGTTCTCCCGCGACTGCTTCTTGATCGCAGCTGTCAAGTTGGGGACGAGCTCGTCACACAAGTTTTGGTAACGCTGAAGCCGCTCGGATCGCTGACTTTCGGCGGACCAGTGTGTTGCGACACCTTCGTCGGTGATATCTCCAGCCAGAAAGGCGTCGAGCTGTCGAACTTGAGCCTGCATGTCCAAGTCAACTACTGGCTGCGAAGAATGTCGTGTCAACGCCAGTAGAGCCGAGTATGTCAGGAGAACGTGTAGTTTCTCTGGCCCCAAGGGTAAGATCGGCGATGTTGGTAGCGGTGCCATCTCGTCTTCGTTGCTGCAATCTGGCGCCGTGTCTCTGGTAGTCGCCCGATCGCTGTTACGGTGTGCTTCCGCGGTGATGGGCGCAAGCGGCGTGTCTAGAGTGTAGAGCGTCAATGTTGATTGCAGATATTATCAATATCTACGCGACTATACTCACAACTATCGCTAGTTTTGTCGGTGCTGTCGCCAGTCGCGGGGTGGGTCGCATCAGCTCGCTTGCCTTTGTCGCTCTCCATTGTGTAATTGCTATCCATGTTTGCAAAGCCTCGCGCAGATTTCTCAATGCCACACGGAACGTTGCATGCGCGGATTTTGGCTTGGATGAAGGACCAGCAGTAACAGTGTGCGCTTCAAAAGCTTTGGCGATCGAAAGTGAAGAGGTCTTGCTCGCGGGTGAGCAAATCGATAGTGACGCGAGCATGTTATGACGCGCTAGTCAAAAAGCGAGGTCACACAGCTCTAAAGAACGAGCCTCATTGTTAGTCGCCGAGTATTGATGTGATGAACACAGCAGTGTCAGCAAAGACGCCCATAGGATAGACTGTCGCGAAAATAATGTTGAACCAGTGAACACTAAGCGTACTTTGTTCTCCGCAAGATAGGTTTGAACTCAATCGTTGCCTCCTGAGGTTCACCATGTCGGTTTAGCGTGCTCGATCGGGCTCGATTTGGACGTTGGTATCTCGAAGGCTCGTCGCCACGAAGTGGATCTTGCCATTGAGGCTGTCGCTCCAGAGGACAAGAGGTCAGAAGAAGTCTTGAATGCTGATTCGAGGATGTACTCGGCGTCTTTGCTTACGCTGGCCAGCAGTAATTAGACAAATACCAAGCTGTCTTTCATCCCCTGACTTCGGTCAATGCGCGGATGTACAGCGCAGCTTCGATCGTCCCAGCCGACATCAGACGGTTTTCGAAAACTCTGTATCCTCATGACTATCTCGCGCGTCGACGACAGAAACAGTAGCTGCTCTCAAGCACAGGATCAGGATTGTTCTAATATCTCAGAGACTGCCCGGTTCATCGGAGTCGAAACACCAGAAGTGAATGAGCCTTTTGAGGCCTTTCTCCTAGGCAGTGACGCGCGCACTGTCCCAATTTGTTAAGCCTTGTTTTGAAATCTTGAGTTTTCCCCTTCCTTGGCGTATATCTTGCTCAGTTCAGTCCGCGACCAACCGCGCCACCGTCACCACACCTTGAAGTCTCTACTTTGAGAATTGGAAGGACTTAGTCATAGCAGCCTTTTCGATCTGGCGCGCGCTCAGGACTGTAACGCGTGATATCTGCGCAGCTGACTTCGCAACTGTACCCCGCAAACATAGTCGACATCGCGCCGTAAGTTTAGAAATACTGAACTCCCGTACGCAGTAACAGCGCAGCACCGTTGGAGTCGTCTCATCTGTTCAATCCGGCATTTGAAGCGCATCGACTAACGATTTCTCTGAAGGGCTTTTCCACCTCTTGCCACGGCTTTTCTCAATCCAGCGCATACTCCTACGCTCCCAATACATATCTTACACGCATCCGATCGACCTTCACGAAAGGACAAGGACGGAAGAAGATGCCGCCCCACCTGATCGGTAGCCTGGCCCGCGAGATTCCCAGCGCGGAGGAGGTGCCAACACCCCAGACCAAGGCCAAGGTCAAGGTGCCCGCCAGCAGCCCGCCGGAACACCTTTCGTATACAGAATCCCTCCCCGTTGACGAAGACAGCGATGGCGAATTGTCGGACGACCCTGCGCCCTACGCCGGCCGAGAGCTAGTCAACAAGGAGCTCACACCGAAAGAGACGTTCACGCCCCACGACACTGATCCCACCAAGATCGAGGCGACATTCAAGATCCAAATGCCCGATGGCAAGAGCTGGTTCATCCAGAAGAACATAATCCCGGAGAAGCGCGAATCCGCCGACCGGGACTTGTACGAAGCCGATGACTGCATCTTCTTCCCTGACCTCGAGAGCTGCAAGGTTCCCAAGAAGGACAAGGAGAAGAAGAACAACCCTGTGGTAGAGTGGAACAAGGTTAGCGAGAACCGTTGGGAGCGGACCTTCAAGGGCATCAATGAGGTCTTCACCCCAAGCATCGCCCTCCGCCGCTTCAACGCCCGTACCCGCGCATATGAACACGTCCACGTTAACCAGTCGAAACTCGCCAACATTGACCCAAACGACAAGAAATGGAAAGACGCATACAACAAGTGGATCGACCAGATCTCGCGCCGGTCCAACGCCGCCTACGAGAAGAAGAAGAACCGTGACCACTGGACCGTCCCAGAGATCTGCGCCATGTACACTGGCATCAACGACTTCGTTCACACCAAAGGTTTTGACGCGTACGACACCATTACCACCGCCGACTTGTCCAAGATCGTCGAAGCCATCAACAAGGCTGGTGGGAAGAACCGTGGTCTGGACGCCCTTCGAGGTCAGATCACGTCGGCTCATGCGACGAAGAACAAAACGATGGCGTATCTCCGTGAGCACGCCCGAGACTTTCGACTGCTGGTTGAAGCCGGTGGTGTAGTGGGCGATGAGGAGCGGTACCCTAAGCACATGATTCCTCTCTCAGAGTTTCCAGTTGAGAAGCGTGCCAACCACCGAAAGGGTACTGGCAAACCCAAGGTATACAAGCCCAAGTTCCGATCTGTGAACACACAGACTGGCGATGACAAAGTGGTCCACGAAGACTACGACGGTGCCGGCATTACTTCGACTGCAAGGAAGATCTCCAAGAAACGCAAGCGCGATGCACTGGCATCCGACAGCGACGAAGTCGAGGATCAGACTGAGATTCTTGGTGAGGAGAGTGACGAAGAGGAAGTCGAGCATGGCTACGGAAGCGAGGCAGGCGATACCTCAGACGAGGAGGAAATCGGCAGTGGAACCGAGCACATGAAGGTGGCAGAGGATTTGGAGGAGACCGCAGACGTGAAGGCCGAGGATATGGAGGTCGAGAACGAGGAGCCCGAGGTTGTGAAGGCAGCGAACGTAGAGGCCGACGCCTTTCCGCCGACCAAGAAGCCACGTGTGACTGACCACGCCATTGAGCTCGCCCGCCAGATGCTCGAGGACGATTCTGATTAGTAGCTGACCGATACACCTGACACGGTCGCGATCAAGATAACGGCCTGAGGCTGGTGTAGCGAAAGCGCGGTAAAAGTTCGATGCTGGCGTGGAAGCTAGAGGAAGGTACGAACGACGTTGTCAGATATTAAATAAACGCACAGCAACAAAGCGGCTTCACCACTAGCGACTGTTGGGAACGAACGCACGCATGGATAGCATACTGTAGGCGTATAATGGATGAGAGCAAATCTCCGCGTGACTCCTGTTCATTAATATGCATGTCGCTAGAATGAAACTTTGCTTCCGATGGTAAGAGACACAATAGTTTGCGAATGACTGTATCGAGAGCCAGGTGAGGTGGAGGGAGAGTGGTAAAGAGTCAGAATTGACGAGAAGAACGCCTGTGACGATGGTATGGCCGCGCGTCACAGCATGGAAGGCGCAAACAGTCGCATTCCACCACGAACGTAGTCAAGGCGGAATTTGCAGTGCTAGTTAGCATATCGCAACTGAGTTCCTCAGGGGTAATCAACACAGTAGATGGTATGGATGAAGATGATGTATTTATGGCATGCGAAGGGGTGGTTGAGGATGAAAGGAGGTGCGAGGAAGATACGGCAGGCGCGACAAACCTGCCCCGCAGCATCGCCCACAAAAGCACACTAACCGCAGAGCCTTCCCCCACCAAAGGAAACTTGACGCGACATCCCGACTCATTGCAATTTTTGCGTAAATCGAAAGACCTGCTTTCGCAAAAAGAGCAAAAGGCACACCAGAAAACATGTCAGACACTGAATCGGACACTGCGAGCTCGGTCGGCAGCATCGTCGAAGACGCAAGCGAGCCGGATACGACCACTTTCAAAGATCTATTTTCGGATCGACAATGGACTCGTGTGTCGGATATGGTAGAGCACAACAAGACTGAGAACGGATTCGATCTGCCAGCAACCATCAAAGGACTTGGACCAGGTACGGCTTCCGACATTCAACGCTCATCTATGCGTTCTACGCCTTACCTGTTTGGGATAACCACTGACTGCCTGCACTAGACGCGGACGAGATCACCATCATTAAGCTGGTCAACTACCTCCGGTCAGAAGCGCAAAAAGGCACAGATCCCAAGAGTATCAAAGTAAATCTAGATGATCTCACAAGCGACAAATACCTACAGCCAGTATTGGAAGATGACGCCTTACTCTTTGAACTTGGAGATCTAATGCCAGACGATGACAGCAAGGCCATTGACTACGACGAGTATGAGGCGAAGATGCACAAGGACATGCAAGAAGACTTCTCTAAGATCAAGCTCACCAATGATCGGGACCAGGACTACTTCGAATCATACAAGGGCAACAGCATTCATCGTGAGATGATCGAGGATCGCGTACGAACAGAAGGGTACCGTGACTTCATCGAGAAGAACGCCGAGGTTTTTGCTGGAAAGACCGTGCTTGACGTCGGGTGCGGCACAGGTATCCTGTCCCTCTTTTGCGCACGTGCAGGTGCGAAAAAGGTGTTCGCAGTCGACAACTCTGGCATCGCTGTCCGCGCGAAGGAGATCATTGCGAAGAACGGCTACCAAGACCGCATTGAACTGATCCAAGGACGCGCTGAAGACTTCAACACCCAGCGGTTGATTGGCAAGGAGAAGGTCGACATCATCATCTCGGAATGGATGGGCTACGGTCTCCTCTTCGAAGGCATGCTGGATTCGGTCCTGCGCGCACGCGACATGTACCTCAAGCCTGACGGCATCATGGTGCCGTCCCACTGCAACATCCGTCTTGCGCCAATCTCAGATGCCGACTGGATAGCAGACAGCACGAGCGAGAAGTTCTGGAAAGATATCTACGGATTCGACTTTTCACCCATGATCCCAGGTGGTCTGCTCAACACACACGAAATCGGTGTCTTTGACGTGCCTGAGAAGGCGCTCTGCGGCACTGCGACAAGCCATCTGCTGGAGATGAAGACTGTGTCCGTGCAGGATCTAAGCTTCAAGGTGCCTCTTCGCATGACACTCGACCGCGATATCACATCTCTCCAGGCCGTCGCGATATGGTTTGACACTATCTTCATCCACCCTGGCAGCTCACAGGATGTCAAGACGCTTGACAACGTTGACTGGGGCAAGAACGGTATTCCGGGCTTGGGCTTCTCGACGGGTCCAAGCAACACACCTACACATTGGCATCAGGCAGTACTGCTGCTCGATGCAGAGGTCGCGGAGAAGCAAACATATAAGAAGGGCACGGTATTGGAGGGAAGCCTGACGTATGCGAAGGAGAAGGGCGATGAACGTGGTATTACCGTGACGGTGGAGTGGAAGGGCAAGGGCGAGCAGGGCGATGTGGAGGGCAAGGTGCAACGAACGATGGCTTAGGGAAATAGAGAAGGACGTTTGTAGACACCAGATATCACCTGCAAAGACGCGTCTATGTAGCCTAAGCGCGACACGTCGATGCCGGGCCGACATTTCTGATTTCGCGCTAGTGTTCCGATTCCGAAATGCACGCGGAAGGCTGGCAGGAACCCCGAGGCGTCGACAATGCATCTTGACTCCACGCAACACCCCATCTGCTGCGATAGGGTGATTTATATCCTCCCCCACCCGTTCGATCCGCTTGCAGCAATAGCTGTGCCGCATCTCTTCTCCACGATTGCCGATGTCCGAGGTGACGACACACCACGTGGATCGTGCGCGTGAGCTTCAACATTCTAGGAACCCTAGGTGTCGCATCTCGTACCGCGAGACACCGGAAGCTTAATATACGCCCACACGTACTACTGTCGCCTGGACGCTACTTGACATCCAGCGACTGCCTAATAATGCGCAATCAACGGTAGCCGAGCTCGATAACTTCTATGCGCGGTATCCTCCCTGGGCGACCCCAGGCTAAGCTCCAAGCTGTCGCTCATGGCCTGTGGGAAGGCCTCCAGATAATCGTATGACTACACCCTTTGCGACGCGCACAAAGACTGACTTGCGCTTCATATAGGTTTACATCTCCGGTAATGCGCTGATCATCCTCGATCGACCCAACCACGTCCTCCAAACCATCTACATCGACGAGGAATTCGAGCTTGAGGCAGTCGCGATCGACGAGGGCACCGGCAAGCTCGCGGCATGTTCGACGCGACACATATACATATACCGGCCATACGGGCAAGATGAAGGCGCGATCAAGGTGGGCACACAAGGAGGGGCAGCTAGGAATGACTGCTGATATGCGCAGTGGTCGCAACAGGGCAGCACGTCCCTGTCTGACGCCGATGACACGATAACGACCCTTTCATGGGGCATGCCAGACGAATTGCTCGTCGGCAGCGCATCCCTCACCCTCTTCAACACCCATAGCGACATCGAACGAATATGGACAAAGCAGCTAGCGAACCCTGTCAAGTTCGCCCACTTTTCGCCCGATGCCGAGTTGATAGCTTCGACAGGCAGGTACGACCGCCTCCTCAAAATATGGCGACGCACATCCTTCGGTTCCGCCGATCAGAGCTTCGACTACTTCTACCTCCCACACCCCAAGGCTATCACAGGCTTGCATTGGCGGCACCCGTACCACAAAGACCAGTCCACGGACAACGTACTATACACAATATGCGCGGACCAGAAGGTGCGAGTCTGGGTACCAGGAGAGCATCACGGCGTAGATGGCATGCACATGTGGGCTGAGGTGGACCTTGTAGAGTCGATAATGTCACGGCATGTGCCACTGGAGCAACAGTCGAAGAAGCGATATGCCTTCTTCATCGACGGCAAGCACTTCACGCACGCGACGGAAAGAGCGATGCAACAGGCTTCGGCAGAAGAGAAAGACCACGGCATCGCGCTGCATCACTTGATAGAAGTCGCGAATCGCAACCCGGAGATATGCGTTGTACTTGATGACAGAGGCAACATGTCTGCGTGGGGTTTTGAGAACGTAGGGGCAAAACAGAAGAAGGTCACCGACGTCTTCAACATTGCGCATGTCGATGGACTTGATCTACACTTCGCAAAGGAACCGAAACCCATCGAGGACAATGTACAATTCTACGCATTCATCGGCGACAAACCCGACTCTGAGTTGACCCTGCTATCGCATCACTTTGACGGGCGAATCGAGTGGCTAGAGTCGCGCATCGACTATCTGTTCGACCCTTCGTCACAGCCACAGCGCATTCAGCGTAAGGCTATGTGGACGGGACACTCGCATGCCATCAAGAAGGTCAATCGCACAGCTAGCGGAAGAGCATTGGTATCGCGGACCACGACAGATGAATGCATTGTATGGCTACAGCGGCAGAGCGATCAGGGCATGACGTTACATCGACACTGCAGCGTCAAAGTGACGGAGCACATCCATCGTACTGCTCTCTTGCATGAGGGTAACTTCATTGTCTTCCTACATCATGACGAGATCTCGCTTTGGGATACTCGTGGTCATGAAGCCGTTGAGAAGACACGGCTCGCATACAAACTCCAGGGTAAACCTCTGTGTCTGCTAGTGATACCAGAGGTCGAAGTTGGTGGACAGCGCATACACATCGCCACCATCAGTTCCGAGATGAAAGGCATCTGCTGGGAGGTCACACTGCCAAAGCCGGAGCGAGATGCACCTGGGGGTGAGGAACAGCCCGCCATCTCGCAAACCAATGGCTATACCAACGGTCATTCAGAGATCACGCTCAAGGAGTTCTCCACATTCAACCTTGGATCTGGCGACGACCTTGCCTTTGTACTGCCTGTAGACCCCGCTGGCACAGCACCCGTCATCTCGGGTTTTCTTGACACCTTTGCGCGAGATATAGCCATCTCATACACGAAATCCGGAATCATCAAGTCCTGGACCGCGCGTGTTAACATCGAAGATCGAAAACTGGACTGGCTGTTGACTTCGGAGGTCGAGACTGGCGTCAAGAACCCATCACTTGCTAGTGGCACGTCGATACGCAAGGCTGCGTTGGCCGATGCTGATCGAACTACACTCACTATATGGAATACCCGAAGCGCCCAGTTGGAACATGAAGAGACATTCGAAGGCAGCGGAGTCATCCAGGATCTCGACTGGTCTTCTACTCCCGACAACCAGTCCATACTTGCTGTTGGCTTCCCCCACCGTGTCGTCATCTACGCCCAGCTGCGATACGATTACCTCAACGCCGGTCCATCCTGGGTACAGATCAGTGACGTGCGCATTCGCGACATCACGCCACATCCAATCGGCGACTCGGTATGGCTCAGCAGTGGTAATCTGGTCATTGGTGCAGGCAATCAGCTCTTCATCCAAGATGAGCATGTCCAGGTGTCCGAAGGGCTATTTCCTAGCTTACGTACTATCTCACGGAAGACAGCATCTATCGACATCTTCGATGCAGTCAGCAGGCTCAACGGTCCACTACCCGCGTACCACCCCCAGTTACTTTCACAATGCGTCTTGGCTGGCAAGTTACTACTGGTGCAGCGCATCTTGATTAAGCTTTACACCACACTCAAGTTTTGGATCGAAGGTGAAGAGCTTGATAGCTCGCTGGGATTCGCACCTGAAGACTTCTTAGAAGCTGAGGCATGTACATCTGCAATTCCATCTAGATGTAACTAACCTTTGCAGACTCAAATGACTGCATCTCGAAAAGAGGTGCATTCATCATACGCCGATTTCTCTGACGATAGCGAGCCTGAAGCAGTCACCGAAGAAGTCGCATCTAGTCTCAAAGAGCTCCTAACCACTAAGCGGATACCGCTCTTGACCAGTCGCGAACAATTTCGCTTGGCCGATATCATCGAGTGTATCGGTATGGTAGAGAAGCATCGTCGGTCCATTGACGATAACGCTGGTCGCTTCTTGCTGTTCTTTCGACAGCACGTGCTGAGTGAGACGCATAAGGGACCCATCTCGTGGCGCGAGATCATCTGGGCGTTCCACTCAGGAAGTCAGGACATTCTTGTCGACCTTGTCAGCAGACACTTCAGCGGGAAGATGATGTGGCAGCACGCAAAGGAGTGTGGAGTGTTCATGTGGATGTCCGACATCAACGCATTGGTACAGTACACTCTTCCTTATCGGTGGAAAATGCTAACGACATCTAAAGCGCGCCCAGTTCGAGGTCATTGCTCGAAACGAGTACACGAAAACCGACGAAAAGAACCCCGTCGACTGCGCCCTATACTACATGGCCCTCAGGAAGAAGCCGGTTCTAGTGGGTCTCTGGCGAATGGCGACTTGGTCGAGAGAACAGGGCGCAACACATCGACTATTGTCGAACAACTTCAACGAAGACCGCTGGAAGACCGCTGCACTCAAGAACGCGTACGCATTGATGGGCAGGAGAAGATTCGAGTATGCTGCATCGTTCTTCCTACTTGCAGATCATCTACAAGACGCTGTCAGCGTTCTCCATAATCAGCTTGGTGATACTCAGCTCGCCATAGCAGTCGCCCGCGTCTACGGTGGTGATGACTCACCCATTCTACTGGACTTCTTGAGAGACAAAATTCTGCCCCAAGCTGCTAGAGAGGGCAACCGATGGCTCGCAACATGGGCATATTGGCTATTGAACAAGAAGGACATGGCCGTTCGCTCGCTAGTCACACCGCTGACAACTCTACTTGAAACCTCCGAACCGCCCAGTTCAGCCGCTAAATCGTACCTCACCGACGACCCCGCCTTGGTAGTTCTATACAAACAACTCCGCGAGAAGTCGCTCCAAACATTACGCGGAGCCACAATGATAGGCATGCGCGAAGAGTGGGACTTTGTGCTACACACCGCTGGCCTATACGACCGCATGGGCTGCGACGTGCTCGCCCTGGATCTAGTCAAGACATGGGAATTCTTACTCCCACCACCACCGACAAAATCAACATCAGGTCGTCCGCCGCTGAGCCCCTCGATGCCACGACAAAGCTATCAATCGCAGGGAAGGAACCAATCTGCGACAGACTTTGACTTCGATCCCAGGAAGCTGCTGCGCAGGAGAAGTTCGCTTGTTATCGCTGATTTACCGGTGCGGGAGCATGCTCATAACGATTTGGCGGAGAGCAAGGGCACGCTGGAGGAAAGTAGGGAGAGTGGGGAGGAGGATGGCGAGGAAGAAGGTGAAGAGGATGAAGAGGATGGAAAGGATAAGAAGAATGACGAGAAGCCCAAGGAGGAGCCGAAGAAGAAACCGCCGCCGACTCAGTTCAATGAGCCGGATGCGAATAGTTTGTTGGATGCTTTCGGGTTTTAGTAAGGCTGGTTGGATGATACATTGTGGTTCTGATACGAAGGTTTCGGGATAGTGGCATGGCTGGGTGTTCTGGGCGGTACTAGGTAGGTATAATAGTGGTTGCATGTATTAAGAAGTTACTAAACGAATGTTCCATGTCATATTGATCTGCATCATCCTGACTCGTTGCTCAAGCTAATAAACTAGACAAAGAATGCAGCAGCAGCAGCGCCAAGTCCAGCCAACAGCGGCGCACCCCTAACCATCGGCGCACCAGCCTCCGTCACCTCAGGCACAGGCGCAGTCCCAGAAGCACCTGTCGCGTCCGTAGAAGCACCCGTAGACATGGCACTCGACATCGTCGGTGTAGCCGCAGCAGTAGCTTCCAACTTCTCCGTTCCGGCGGTGATAACAAGGTAATAAGTTCCGAATTGCGTCGCCTCGATCTCCACCTCAGAAACATAAGGTTCGTCAGGCGTACCACTCTCACTGCAGTACGCTGGCTGGGAGACAGACGAAACAGCAGAGCCATAGCCGTAGCTCAAAGTCTGCCTGACTGTCTCTGTACCTGCAGGTTCGGAGCCGCGCGCAGGATACGTGTGTGTTCTCGTCCAAATCTCCTCGGTTGTCGAGATGTAAGCGGGGTTCTGGCAGAGGAGACTAGCGAGGTCCGGGGGGTAAGATACCGTGCATGTGCGGTTCGAGCCTGCTTCTTCGGGGGTCGGCCAGGTGCAGTCAAGGGCGTAGGTGTCGTCCTCATCGTCGTCGCCGGTTCCGGCGATGCCAACGTCAACTGTGGTGCCGTAGTATTCGGGACCTATGGTCATGGTCATGGGGCCATTGACACCGATACTCAGAGCGTCCAGATCGGTTCCTTCGTCGTATGAGACGGCGACGGTGGTGTGGGTTTCGTTGGCGGCGATGACGGAGCCGACGAAGCCGATGTTGTCTGTTCCGAGGCCGTTGGAGGGCATCCAGAAGGAGGTTGTTACTTGGGCTGAGGCGCTGGCTGCGAATAGCATGGTTGAGAGGAGGGGTGTCATTGTGGTGGTGGTGGATGCAGGTGTAGTGGGAGATGATTCGTGATATGCACAACACAAACATTTTCTCACGAGGTGTTTACGTCCCTTTAAGCATCGTGGGGTTATAGTAGGGCATCCTCACCGGTTAGCCAAGCCCAGGGCGCAGTACCTTGGCTTGGACGGATGCTGTTCCACATAAAGCGGTTGCAGCGGCTATCATCTGAATGAGTTGGCGTTCTCCTCAAGTGACTGGAATGTGGCGGAAAACCTGTCTTGGTTTTACCACACATTGGCGCTGGTGGCCTTGTTTACAACAGAGCCTAAGCAACTCGGGTCTCGTATGCACTCCACGCGATTGGTCCACTTAGCGATGCAGTTGCGGCTGTGCCTGGCTGTCACGGCTGTATGATCCGGGCGTAATAGGTGGAACTCGGATGGATAAACGGCAGATACCATCCGTTGTGCATTATGATCGTGATCATCTTAACGTTGCCGTATCTGTTGTACTAGCAATGTGGTTCAGCGACTTAACGACTAACCCGTTGTAAGGCCTCTGATCGGTGTGGAATACCAAGATCGCTTGCCTTACGAGCCGAGACTCAAAGGGGGCTGTGGAGGGTCGTCTGGTCTGAAGTCAACCCGAAGCATCGCAGCAACACTCCGCTAACTTCGATGGGGCGACATAACTCTTGGTGGCGACCTTTTCGTCGACTTGTGAGTGCGCCTCTTTCTATCACCGTGAACCATCACGATTCGAACATAGCCGTGCAATCATAACAGCGCAGAGAATACGGGTTGATGGTCTTCGACAACTCACAGCGAGCTGATTAGTGAGCAAAGTCACACTCGCTCGCAGCATTGAGCACTTCCCGAGGTCATGACGAAGATGGAAGTGAGGACGTTCTCGTCATCGTCACTGAAAAACGAACTAGCATGACACTGAGAGACGAAGAATGTGTGATAATAGCGGCGTGGTGTTTGAGAGGTTGATGAGTAGCCTTGTCGTTGAGCTTTGCTAGATGGTGCCCCGGTGGCCCCGGGGACGGCATGACAGAGTGTCACGTGGTCGCAAGTGGGTCCGCATCCTCCGGCTTGAAGGTATAGCCGAGTGCGCGTCATCGCGCCGGATTGGTAATCCATCTCAACACGCGTCGAACGAAGGCGACAACCTAGGTACTGTGTAACGTCGCACTTCAACACCACACACCTATCGTGATGCCTTCTCAACGCGACTTAGAAGGCGGTAGCGTGCCAGATGAGCGCGCGCCATTGCTCTCGCATGATGCCGCGCGTCAGCACACACCCACACCATCGGAACGCGACGAAATCATCGATCAACCGGAAAAGGCGGCTTCCAAGACCTGGTATTATGTTTGGAGAGGCATGCTTGCCGTCTTCGCGATACTGGTCATTGCTGTCTTCATCAAAGGCTGGATAGAGGCTGATGACGTCGATGTATGTTCCTCTACACTGTTGCGGTATATCAAACCCCGGAAGCTCACAGCATGCGTAGTTCGATCTCAAAGGCGCATTGAAGCGTGCATTGGGTGGGGGGTTGAGTGGTGCTGCGGCGATGATACTGCAAGTGTTGCTGTTGATGCCCATCCGTACGATCATGAACTACCAATATCGCCATGGAACATCGACGACTGTCGCAACTAAGACTCTGTATGCAGATGGTGGCATAGGTCGATACTACCAAGGCATGGGTGCTGCTCTCTTCCAGGGGCCCATCGCTCGATTTGGAGACACAGCCGCCAATGCTGGTATCCTGGCCTTGCTGCAGTCCAACGGCTTCTTGAAGCAGCTTCCATCGCCAATTCAGACAATCTTTGCATCTGCGTGCGCTGCAGCTTTCAGGATGCTACTAACACCAATCGATACCTTGAAGACTACTTTACAGGCCCAGGGATCTAGTGGCTGGGGTCTACTGCGGCAGCGCATTAGGACCGACGGCATCGGCTCTCTGTGGTGGGGTGCTTTTGCAACCGCAGCAGCGACCTTTGTTGGACACTACCCCTGGTTCGCCGTATACAACTTCCTTTCCGAAACCATTACAGAGCCATCGAGACAGCAGATCGGATGGTGGTTGCTACGGGCGGCTTTCATCGGTTTCTGCGCTTCGGTCGCTTCGGACACAATATCGAACTCGTTACGCGTTGTGAAGACATATCGACAGGTCAACGATACAAGGATATCCTATACCGAGGCTGCCAAGCAGGTCATCCGTCAAGACGGCAGATTGGGTCTATTTGGGCGCGGATTGAAGACGAGAATCATCGCCAACGGTCTGCAGGGCATTCTGTTTTCGATCCTGTGGAAGCTGTTCCTGAAGATTTGGGAAGACAAGACGGGTTGAGCGCGACTGCGATTGGGTCGACATATTTGAGGCAAATGAATTTCGGCTTGACTACTGCAATGTGCGACTCATACGTACGACGAGACCTCTTCTTCGACGTGCAACATTAACGCTGACATGCGTACTGGGTCCCTGCTGAACCGTAGCCTCTTAGGATACCGGCTCAACCATCTCCGTATCCGATACTAATCCTGATCACCTCAGCTTATCGCTTCGTCTTCTTCGCCATCGCATCCCCCGCATCGTTCTCATCCCGCTTCCTCTTCGGTGACGGTCGCCTGCTCTTCTTCCCCTCAACATCCAAGGCCGCATTCTTACCAACCTCAGTCGGGTCGTCAACCGCAACCGACTCATCCACTTGAAATTGCCTCAGCTCGTCCTCTGTCACATTCGGAACAAACAAAACACCGCCTGTCTTCCCTTCTAGAAGCCCTCTCATGTTCTTCCTCTCCGTGGCAACTTTGCTAACCCTGCCATCGAGCTTTCCCCGGATGGACGACACGTCGCGCTGTGGTCTAGAAGGTGCAACATCACCGTTCGCGTCTTTGAGTACCTTGCCTTCGAAAAAGGCGTTGAACGCTTCCATCACGGACACTGGACCAGGGAGCTTTATGACATGACCCGCATCGATGGTCGCGCGCAGCTTCCTGTGGAAGAGCGTCATCCAGGCGTCCTCCAGTGGTGTGTACGGGTATGCAGCCTTCTTGGTGCCAATTCCATGTTGCTTGAAAACGTCGGTGCGCCATTGTGTTATCGCGACGATCTGGGGCTTGGACTTCCAGTCGATGTCATCCTGCTCGACGTCGGTGTACGTGACGGTCTTGGACTCACCGGTCACGTTGTTATGGAGCTTGATCGTGAGCTTGTGGACCGACTTGTTGCCCGTCCGCGGGGCGTCGATGTTGCCGTCTACCACCTCCCATCCGCTAGCTTCATCTGAAGAGGAAGCAGGGCTGGAGCTTCGCTCAGCTTTAGCGTCGACCTTGAGGTTATCGCGACCGGTGTCTTTCGTCAACGTGTCTCCCGTGGCTGGCGGCTGGGTGGATGTCTTGGTAGACTTCTTTGGCGATGGCAAAGACTTTCCAGGTCCCGCGGACTTGCCAGGCGAGGAGCCGAAGACAACTTTGAGTTCCTTCTTCTTCGTTGTCTTGAGTTTGGTTTGAACACCTGTCTTCTTGTTCTCCGTCGCAGAGTCAGATTCATCCCCGCCCTCGACGTTGTTGATGTAGTTCAGGTAGCCGTTGTGCCTGAAGTACTTCTCGTCCAGTACATCGTCGGTATCATCCGGCTCTCTCAAAGGTTTCGCATTGTCAGCAGGATCAGACGGGAAATCCGCCACCGAGTCATCATCGCCTTCGTCGGGTAAGTAGCCTTCGCGCGCTGCCGAGGGCTGGTCTGCGGGTGTCTCTTCGCTGAAGTCTTCGTCGAAGTCTGGATTGTTGATAGACCGCCATCCCGACTTCGTCTGGTAACCGGCGGGATTCCACGAGGATTTGTCTATGGTTATATCGTGGCCGGGGTTCTCGCCGAACGCTGGGTCGTTGATGGCTTGCCATCCGGACGTGGTCGGGTAACCGGCAGGGTCCCACGAAGACTCATCTATGGGTTGCCATTCTGAAGTGGGAGACGCCTCGAGCTGCCGAGGGGACGACTGCATCTCTGCCGGGATCATCAGTGCCTCCAATTCCTCCAAGTCATCATCTTGGTCCGCTGTCTCATAGTGGTCCGTCTTCCGAATAGGCGTTGCCTCCTCCTGTCCACCAGTTTTGGTGGCAACGCGGTCAGGGAATTCGGGGACGTGGGTTGTAGCGCGCGGGAGTGGAAGGTTGCCGGCGATGTCAGCGTGACGCGAAGAGCTCGTAGGACTCCTGACAGTGTTGTCAGTCTGGTCGAAAGCGTCAATAGAGCTACCGGCCGCGCTGTGTCCTTCCCGCTCGATGCGCTCCTGTTCAATGTCTTCTACAAAGGTGCGAATCCCTGTATGAGGTGGAGATGACGGCGGCTCCACGTCAAAATTTGTGGCTGGTTTCTGGTCCATGGTGTAGGTTGTGGTTGTGGTTGGGGAGGAGCAGTTGCGCTGGTGGTGTGATTTGCGGTCGGAGTAATGGCCAGTCCGAGTTGCAACGACTGTGAAGTTGAGTGATTCGGGAGGGGCGCGGCTGGGACGATGGTGAACGAATGCTCTGGTAGGTCATGCTCTATGCGAGTAGGACGTGGTGGACACCCCTTCCTTGTTTATGTCAGCACACCGAACTACCGCACGGTTCTGGAGATGTATCGGAGCTAACCGTTGACGAGACCGGCGTAGAGGTCACCCATCAGCTTGGCACTGTTTAATGCCGCTGCTTGCGCTTGATCTCAATCTCGACATCTTCTCGACGCGTCCGAACACGACCGCTGCACAGCGCCCCCTACGCTGTGCGCTCACACTTCGCTTGTACGCACCTCCGAGCGCCGCATCCGCATCCAAAGACACCCGTTGCATGCGCTGAACAAAACTTCACAGACGCCATGGCCCCAGCCAGCAGCAAGAACCACCCCCCTTGGGCGACGACTGAGCAGACCTCTGCGCTGAGAGCCCACGTCGTCCTTCAGCGGCATAAAATGGTGGTACCTCCAAAGATCCTACCAGACGACGTTGAACGCGCCATTCAGATCCTGGATCAGCACGACCCGTCAACAGCGAAAGCGGATGCTAAAGACCTCAAGCCAATTGATTACGCCAAATACGCGATCAACGACCACTTGCGGCCAATGGCTCTCGCAGCTGGCATGCACAACCTCCATCAAGAAGGAATAAAGAAGGGTAATCTAGTCGACCTACTGACAGACTGGGATTTACAAAACGTCCCGCTTATAGCGGCTCTGCTACCGCGCTCGGACAAGGCCACTAAATCCGCCATCCCTAAGCAGGTCGTTTCGACGCGGAAAAAGGCCGAAACGGGGCCAACGGAGTCGAAGAAACGCAAGGCTGTGCCAACTAAAGTCACAGCGGCTAAAAGGCCCCGCAGCAATGCCAACACTCCTCTAGAGGACTACGACATCGAAACGGAGGGCCGAAACGAACCAGATGACGGCGACTCCCTTCCACAATCTGCTGTCGAGGGCAGCACGCCAACTCGACCACTGGCTCAGCCGCGATCGCGTCTCCGCAAGCCTCGAAACCCTCAGCCGCTTGCTACCGAGACGGACCTCGAAGTAAACAAGGGCATGGCTGCACTGGCGCTGAGGGAGTTTGGGGAACACAAAGGCGGTAGCACGGACGAGGCATTGACCCACAACCGCGAAGAAGACGACAAGAGGCTCGAGACTGATGTTGAAGAGGTGCAAGTGCCAGCTTCAGGGCGACGTAGCACTAGGGGACAAGCGGGTGGGCGCGGGAAAGGCAAGAAGAAGAACAGCAAGGCTGGCACAACGAAAGAGATGCTCAACAAAGATGGCACGCTAAAGACTGCTAAACAACTTGAGGAGGAGCAGCGTCTGAAAGATGAAGAGGAGGAAAAGAAGCTGCACGAAGCGCGCTCACTAGGTCACTACTCAGACCCTATCCTCGCAAAGCAATTTCGTGTCGTGCACAAGACAGTTCGTGCTCCCCTGGATGGACACATCCGACCTGGTGTCAAGCCTGCACCTACTGATCAACTGGGCTCCTGGCGTCTGCACGAGCGTCTCACGAATCAGGCAAAAGAAGAAGGCAAAGACCTAGATCTCTGGATGGGTGGCGGAGCGTCGCCATCAAGGAACGATTCCGAAGAGGACATCTACGAAGAATGGTAGGGCATGATGTTGGTATGGATGGATGGGCACACTAGTGTCGGGCGATAGCAAGCGAATACTTCACGTCAGGATGCTTTGTGTCGTGTCGCAGAGTGTTCAAACCCTTTGTTCAGGAACGGCGACGCAGGGATGATGAATACGACATATCCCTTTTGTACTCTACAAAAGCGCTCAAAACAAAGAACGTAGCATGAAATATCAGTTTCGTTCAACTAAACAGCTACAGCTTCGTCACGCTATCCTACTGAACGCTCCTGAAGTTTCCCACTTGCTATATCTCGTATTGTATTCCCCTTCCAGAGCTTCCCCCCTCTTCCCGACTGAAGATGCCGCCCAAACGCGCAGGACTTGATCCTGATGCCGCAAGTAGCGCAGAAGAATCACCAAACGCCCGAAGCGCCAGAAATACAGATAGCCCGAATCCAAGAGCGGGTAGAACATCGACGCCAGTATTGCAGAGCAGTAACGTGAGCGCCAATACCAGGAAAGGGAGACATGGCAACGGTCCTAGATCTGAAGATAATGCCAAAGAGTCCCAGAGGGTGTACGAACACTTGGAAGCACAAAGACAAGAACTCTCGCAAGAAATCAAAGACACGAAGGAGAAAGCCGAGATACCCGATTTTGAGGAACACCTTACAAACCGTGCTCGGGCGCGAGATAAAAATGCCGGAAATCGAATAGCTCTCGTTCGTGCGGCCAACAAGGCGGTAGGCGGGCAAGAGAAATTCGACCGCGTTGTACGCCGGGAAGCCCACGCCGCACGCACACATGCGACTGCCTTATATGAAGACTTTCAATATTATCAGACGCCTGAATTTCGTTCTCAGTATCTCCAAGACATTGATAAGGTGAAAGACCGAATACAGCAGTCCATACGGGATGGGCAGCCACCTGGGCTACTTTCAGGAGACGATGCTTACGATAAATTCCTACGTCCAATCCTCAAATCATTAGAAGATGATAAAGTCGGTCAAACGGAGACACTTGATTACGACAACATGGGCCCACATCACCTACACGTTAGGATACCAAGGGCAAAGAGCCAAGCTGTGGGATTAGGTAGACCGCGATTTCCCCCAATCGATCCGCCGATCAACCTGAAACTTGATGTCGAAGCGATTGAGAAGAGAAGGAGGGAAGTAGAGGATGAAAATAAGGATGGCAAGATGGCTGAGTCACACTCAGAACGTCGAGCACGAGAGACCGGGCTCTCAGAAGGACTACCCTCAGATAGTCATGTCCATGACGCATTATCAACAGCCATAAATCTCATCAGGACGCGACTGGAGAGCGGCCTATTCATTTCAGCAGGCGAGACGTGGAACGACTGGAAGACTTCCGACGAGCGAGATGCACCGAATGAGCTTTACGACCCACCGACCGAGGAGGATACGCCAGATGACAGCGATGACTCTAGTGACGACGAAAACGACTTGTTTGCAATCAGTTACCGCGAGTGCAGTGGTTTGACAGGCTGTCCCCGTAGTGGCGGCGGTGGTGGTGGTAGCGATGACAATGATAGTGACGATGACGGTGATGGTGGCAAGAAGAACAAGAAAGACACCGGTGACCCAGGAGCACCGGCCAATCCTGCCGGTGGCCTACCAACTGGGTCCAAACCTCGACCCAAAGCGCCAGGCAAGAAAGCGGAGAAACATGACTACTCGCAATACAACCGCGTACAACTACGTATAGTTATGAAATTTTGCGGCGAAAAGCAGAGTGCTCCAAAGAAAAATGAACTCTTGGAGCGCGCATGGGAATACGACGAGTCAGAAAAGCCTGGTGCTATTCATCACTTTATCCTCAACGATAAGACAGCCGCGCAAAAGCTTCTCAACGAGATCACTAAACCAGGTCATGATTGGTTAGCCGAATATCAGAAAGAACTCGATAAGCAGAATAGAAAGGCCGGAAGGACTGTACAGCAGCAAGAGGCCGCTCCAGAGGAGGTCAACGAAGACGATGTGGAAATAGATCGGACTGGCGAACAAGTAGATACTGACATACCCGAAGAGGACTCTCCCGCGTCGACTGGAAAGGGCACATCCAAGAAGGCATCTAAATCTAAGAAGAAGAAGAAGAAGACGCAGCCGAAACGTAAAGAGAAGAAGTAGAGCCCCTCTTCTATCCTATCCATCTGGTTGGAAAGGGAAGATGGAGAGAAGCGCAGCCGTGTAGATACAGGTATGGGGATAGAAGGATGTTCTTCTCGCGCGTAGCTCCGCGGTCCGATAGGATAGACCAAGCTTAGTATAGCTCTTACAATGTCAGTTCGTTATACTTCTTCACAGCGCGCGCTCTGCTTTGAGCGATTGATTCGAGGCACATCTAGACTACTAAGCGCCGAGTATAGCTCAAGTCTTGTAGTATCTGACTGCGGAAGTGTTCCGCGATGCTGAGGCTCGTGCTGGAGCAACGCAGACGCTCTCGTGGCTCATACTGATATCGAGAATTGATCGATGACGTACCCCCAATCCGGTTAGGGTTGCGCTGTGTAGGGTCAGAGTGGTACCTCGCACGTGCGGGACACTTCACCTCCCCGCAGCATGGTCACCCACCCTAAGGATAGATAAAGTACTGGCAACTTCGATCATAAGCGTATCGTTGGCGCGACTCGCGTGCCGCTTCCCATACAACGCGACCCCGGTCACGATCCTTGGCGCATACCACCGCAGCCCATCTTGCTCCGCCCGCACACCCCCGAACCCACGAACACAGCGACGTTACAGCTGTGAACCCGCAGCGCGCGACACCGTACACGATGGCGGACAAGTACAAGGGCTGGGTCGTCGAAAATGCCCATAAGCCAGCTTTTCGAACAGTCTACCAGGGCCGACTCGGATGTTCAGATATGCACAGGCTATCGAAGGCTACTTTGCTGGAGATCGCGCTGAACTTTGACCGAAGACATCATCCTCTGTCTCTGAGCGATCCCGACATCAAGAACAAGATCAATGCAGCACAGCTAGCTGAGGTGCAACAACAGGTGGAAATCGCGAAGCTGAAGAAGAAGGGCATAAAGACAGATGCAGGAGGTACGGGACAGAACGACAAGGAGGCGGCAGCAGGTTCGGAACAAGTACAGAAGACGGAGACTACGACAGCGTGGCCTGGAAAGGGCAAAGCGCGAGGTCAAGACGGAGAGGCAACCTCGGACAACAGCGCAGCAGCGGACCTAGGTCAAGATGGACATGTGCGTATGGCGGGAGATGAGGATGCGGCGGAGGCAGCACCACCGGTCGATCTGACAGCCGAGGCGGTCCCTAGTCCGGTCGACGACAAGCGCAAGCGCAAGCGTACTGACACAGTGAGTTCATTCGACACCGAGCGGGCCGGCAACGTGCGACCGCAGACATCGTTAATCGTGAAGTTGAAGTTGCGGGGCAGTGCCAGGGTTGGGACTCGCGGCATGCAGACTACAACCCAAGTAAGCAAAACCGAGTGCGACATGATAACGGCTCTTGCTAACGACTATGCTCAGGGTCTCGGTCTTCATCAGGGTCAGAACCAGGTTGCTGAAGACACGCGGCCAGTGAAGGCCCGGCGCCTTGTCGACAAGCCAGGTTCGAGGCTACAACATGGTTTGGCACCTCCTCTTGCGCTGGCAAAACCCCTGGAAAGCGGCAAGAAAGACTCGGGCGATGCAGTCGCTAGAGGAATGGGCGATGTCTTCGGTAGCGCCGATCCCGCCAACGCACTTGAGCAACGTTCGTCTCGTCGTCAACCGCAACGTATGAAAAAGAAGAAGGCTAGCGTGCCAGTCGGCGACACATCGGAAGAGACCAAGGAGGCATCCGAAGGAGATCCGAAAGACACTGTGGCCGGTCAAGACGTTAGTGAGAAGCTCGACTCGGACGCTGGTTCTCTTGCGGAGGAGGACGACCCCACATGGCCTAAAGACGAGAACGGAAAACCCAAAATATTCGGATCGGATGGTACCATTGTTTGCTACCTCTATGAGGAGACCGAAGAGGAGGAGAAGCTGTTCCCTTATAATTGGCTGAACGGGCCTGAGCGCATGCGTCGAAATGAAAGGCAAGCGAGGCGAAGGAGAGCGCAGGCTGAGAAGGAAGCTGCAGCCAGGGGCGAGGAGTACGTGCCAAAGCCGAAGAAAGAGCCGTATGACTGGACCAAGCACATGTAGATGCTTCGCGACCAATATTTGGCGGTATCGGCGGGAACCGGTTATTGCGACTTCTCTTTGTTTTCGAGGCCGGTCGACTTGCGACGGTCGCTAAGCGGGCCAAGTAGCTGCCGCCGTCTTCGGCAATACAAACAATGAAAAAGTACATGACGATTTCTTTGTCGCAAGATCCCATGTTGGATTTGAATAGAAGTGGTGCGCTGTCCTCGGAGCAGTTTCCTCGTCTTCAAGCCTTCCAAGTTCATACGCATGTACACAGACAGCTCTAGCGCATCTATATCAAACAAAATCTCCTAACACGAATTACAGATTGAGCCGCGATCCTTTATTATGCCTCCGAAAAAAAGTGATGAGGGGAAACAAGGCGGCAGAAAGAAACTTGGCAATACGGAGATCCATTTCAAAGGATTCAATTGGAAAAAGCTCATCAAGGAGTTGAAAAGTGCACAGACAAGGCAGCGTAATGTGAAGAATGAGATCGAGAATTTGATGCCGCAATATGTCCATCTGTCCGAGGATCAGCGCAAAGACTTTTTGAACGATGGAGGTAGAGCTCTGCGTAAGGATACAAGAGGAAAGGCCGCCTATAAAGTGATGGATCTACAGCAACGGCTTGAAGACTTCCTATTCTACCAAAATTCGGTAAACCGATGGAAAAGATATTATCCACTGCGGGCGACGAAGAAGGAAAGAGAAGAAGGGAAGAAAGTAAACAAGCAGCCAATGTTGATTGAGCATAGAGGAGAAGACAGGTCCCAGGAGGCGTACTATTTCTATCTTCGCGAAATGCTTCAGTACTATGATCTCAACGGGATAGGTTTACCGGAGTATAGGCATCAGCGAGGAGGTCTTGATGCCACGGAGGAAAGCGGTAGCGAGCCGAGTCGTGAGATCGAATTAGGACCAGGAGATCTGCACCTATGGACCCCGCCATGGAGACGCGTACCCGTCGGCTTGCGAGAAGAAGCTGCAACGGAAGACCTAGAGCGAGAGTTGGAGGATCCAATCCGAATACGGGTGAATGAAGAAGCGATAGAGGCTCGTCGTGAAGAGTTCGAGAATATCGTTGACGACGATGTAGACCTAGAGTACAGGACGCACACGGAAAGACGTGCGGCCGAGCTTGAGGCTTACGCAGACACCAGACCAAGTACGGCCAACATCTTTGTCAGGACTAACGCGGAGGGAGGTCAAATCGACGAAGATAGGTTTCGCAGAATCCAGACAGCGTCAGGAGTCTTCCTTGCCGCGCTGGAATCCTCCCACGACTGGCTTACGTCGTACGACTGCTTAGGGTTGGTGAAGATTTGTGGTATTCCGGAGCACTTCGAGACCAGTGCTGTCCGCGATGAAGATCGTTTCTATGATTCGCCTGACGAAGACGAGGATTTCGATGCGCCGTTTGACCCGCCCAGTGATGAGATGGAAGGCGGTAACGATGGGGAACATGAAGAGGGTGTTGAGTCAGCGAATGACGGTGCTAATGATGATCTCGAAGACGACGGAGGCGATGATCTGCCCGTTGATGGAGATGGCGAAGCCCCTCACGCCACAGCCATGAGCGGAGAGGAGCCTGATGATACCGGTCGGCAGCTGAGAAACGGGAAACAGCTAAGCAGCTCACCGATGCCAAAGGCGAAGCGGGTGAAAAGAAAGACAGGTGGTGCTCAAGCTAACACAGTGAGTAAGGGCGCCGGCAATGATGCAGGGCCAGCGAATGTTCCAAAGAAGAAAGGCGCGAGCAAGCCTGTTCCTGGGAACGGTACCAAGGGGTCAACAGAGGACGAAAGCCGGGAAAGGGTCACAGCTAGCATCGACTATCCATACAACAAGCGGGAGTTCTGTCTTCCGAAGAAAACTCGTTGGGTCGAGGACGGCCGGCTACTGTCAACGGTGTGGGCGGAGGCAACAGATGGTAGACGAGAGAGACATGTCGGCATGATTAAAAGACCCTACTCTCCAGTGAACTCACCTCCTCATTCACCTATCGACCCAGATGTAGTGGACATGTCCACGATACCTGACGGGAACGGTCTTCCAAACGAACCCAAGCTACGCAGGTGTGGGCATGGCAACACGACGTGTCGTGCATGGTGGACGCACGCGACAGATGAATGTTGGGCACTTCATGAAGAGCCAACTTCATTGCCAACATCCCGCATGGACATCGACGCACCAGTCATGCTCGACGTCCCCGAAGGAAGTCGTAAGACATATCATGGCCGGCTACATGACCACTATGGTCGGAGGATTCGAGGTAAAGCGACATGGCCCCGAATAGGTATCAGAGTGCCGTACGAGCCCACTACTCTCACCACCCCCGCTGAAAGTGTTAAGCACATGAATGCGCCTCTCCAAGGATGGCGTTCTCTTGCGGTGCCAGTCATAGAAAAGGCGCTGCATAAGAAGAACCAGTGGAAATCGGACCCAGACCCAACGGACAGCGGCGACGAGTACGACGAAGGCGACGAGGGTGAATCCGACGACGAAGATGATCTTTTCCGCATGTCGTACGAGCAAGGTTCCTTTCCAAATGGCCGGCCTGCGCCTGTTGTACCACCGACGATGGCCCCGGGAACCACCAACCCAGACGATACAGCCCCAGCAAGTGCTGCTACTGAAGCTATCGCGCCTGCAGAGGATGACGAAGTGGGTGATGATGCGGAGGATCTGTAGACCACAGTACTACCAGATGCCATCGAGCCATCGGCAGGTATGTATCGGTATTGGTCCATGCTCATTCGTTGGAGCAACGGGGAAGTTTCGCGGCATGAAGTTTGTAGGTGGAGGGAGTGGTGTCATTTCGGCTTTCGTTCGTGGGTGGGCGGAGGGACGCGTCGTCTTCGCGTTAAATCAGGTAGACATGATCTCCCTACCAGAGAGGGAGAGGACGGGTAGCAACTGTATTTGTAGCGCGACGTGACTTCAATGGAGGACGTCCGCGTTCGCGGCATCGTGACATCAGGCCATCGTTGACGTTTGTTGGCAGACGTGTAGCAATGAAGTTTGCCCTCCGATGTTCTGGAGCTGGGTTCGTGCTTAGTAATCAATGTGCGTCATAGCTCAAGCTACCCAGCGGAACCCCATCCCTCCCATCTTCTGTCTTTCGCGCTCGAGCCTGAGTGATATTTTGGCGAGAGAAAATTTTGATCTTGTACATTGGGAGATGGAGATTTGGTAACGGTGGTTTGCCAGATTAGTCTGGAGTGGTCCTGTCCATACACACTCATGGTAAACCCCCTATCCCTCCTTGACGCAGCCTCCCAGTATCGACCACCACGCACGGGAGCGTCGACAGCATGTCCTGATCGACATTCGAGCAATTCAACTGAATTACCCGACAATATAATGTGATGTTAGGGTTCGATGCAACTATCAATGCCCCGTGGCAGAGTCGGTACTACCTATTTAAATGGGCCTAACACAAGGACTCAGATTTGCCAATTTACACTCGTGGATTCATTATTATCGAAGTGTTCGAAATATTTATTACTACAAGGGAGTGTTGTCTATATGCGCATACACTACGCACAAATCAGGACATGGCCGGAGTGTCAAGTAGACGCAGTGTTTGCCGAAATTTTCATCGCAATCCGACTGAATCAAAGATACAACCACATGTCCTGCCTTTACACCCACATACTCCTCCGCGATCTCCTCTCCTCTCCTTCAGGATACTCTGGGTCCTCGCCGAGATACTCCATCCTGTTCTCTCGGTAACGCTTTCCACTACTACCCTGCTCCAGATTCCAACATCTCTCAATCTCCTCCCACACATCTTTAGCCCGGCGACCTATCTTAGGCGCTAAGATCCTGGCCTCCGCTACCGTAGGCGGAGCTTTCGGGTCTGCGGTCTGTCTGGTATCTAGCCAGTATAGATAAGCATGGCGCGCCGATACCAACTCGCCAACTCGCCAAGCCTTCGAATCCCGCGATGCTACACCTGGGTACATATAGATTTGGTATGTCTCATCTAGGCGAAGGTTGGGTTGGAGGCAGATGCGATCGTATGGTGGCTGGCCGAAACCGAGGAACGTAATGATGCGCGGGTCGCTGATGAGGAGGAAGTTGACTGGTCCATTATCCATACTTGCTGCTACCTGGGTGACCTGGTTGTTGTTGTCGCGGTGTACGCACATAGCAATGATGATAGCCCTTGGGTAATAGTCGGCTTGGATTTCTTGGACCTTTGTCATGGGAAAAGCGTTGAAATCGTGGATTCGTACAACCGTGCAGGTACCGGGAGGATGCCTTTCGCATGCGACACCTCCAGAAACGATCGGAGCATGTGGTGGTACCGGCGATGAGGATGGAGGCGAAAGTGCTGTCTTTGGGTTGGCATGTTCGATCGTGACAGGTTGGAGGTTTCTTGCTAGAGGTAAGTTTTCCATGTGGACATCTAGGTCCTGTGCGACCTCAGATCTGGCTTTCTTTTGCAGTGCATCGTCGGCAGCAGCATCCTCCCTCACAATCTCTTCGGGTGCACCATGGCTTCCAATATTGTCGTGTGCTTCATCGACCTTCTCCGCCTCTTCTTTCTCCTCTGCCAATTCTTCGACTAAAGGCAGCTTGTACGACAACCTCTCTTCTCGATGATCATGCGCAGTCGCAAACTCATTATACACCCTGATTACCTCGCGGATTTCCAGCCTCTGGAGGATATCTTTGATTCTCTGCGTCCACAGTGCCAGCAAGTGCTTCTTCTGGCCACCTCTGGTGAGAATCAAGCGCATAGTGTTGATGAGCTCGTGGGCTGCGGCTTCGGGCATAACAGCGAAGAGCCGAGGTTCAAAGATGGTAAGACTGCTCGATGTCGTGGGTGGCCTCTTCCGTCTGTATGTCTTGGGAGTCTGCATCGCATTTGTCTCAGGCGCGGTGATGTTGAGCGGTGGGGTAGGCGCGGGCGTGAAGAATTGCTGGGGGTCTGGCGTGTCGCTTTGCATTTCGGTACCTTCTTTGCGCATGCTGGTCTTGGTATACTGATGGTTCGAGGTTTTATTACGAAACTCGTAGAGATGTGATGTTATTGATGGTTGCGTGGTGGGCGTTTGCGCGCAAAGTCGTTTTGTTTTGTCTCACTTTCGCTTGCGCTCTCACTCGCGACCTCCAAAACGAGAAAAACATTGAAAAAAACTATACACAGTACTCATTGTAACAACTCTAGCAACAAATGGAATCAATAAGTGATATACCCACATACATTCAGGCAACACTATAGAAATCAAACTAGTGACATCGTTGCCGCAACTACCATCACATGAATTCAGGTCGCTTGGACTTTGTGCATGCAGCAACGTACTGTTGATCAACCTTAGCCAGCGGTTGCGCGAGCAGCTTGATAAAATTAAGGGAAGTACCTTTGCATTAGTTTGCTACTGTATCATGATCTATCATTTCTTCCCAGATACCATGCCTTACACGTCTTAGCCATACTCCTTCACTACATATGACCACACAGGCCCCGCCATCCCAATCCTTTTGCCAGATATCTTTGCTCCAAGTCCGCCTCAACTAATACCGTGCTGCGCTTTTACCTGCGCTTCGTACTCTGCAATAGCCCCGTTGATCTCATTAACCATATTCTTCCTTCTCAATGCATCCGCTTCCGTCTCTGGGTCTTGGAGATCTGGCACGGGCTTACCCGTGACATTCTTGAGGGCTTGTTTGGCGACAGCAACATTGCGAAAGTCTTCATCAAACGCATCTTGAGCAGCAAGAAGCTCCTTCCGTGCCTCTTCGGTGATGACCTCAAGCTGTGCAACACTATCACGCGGCTGTTGCGTCGCGCGAGCGGCTGCCATCCGAATCGTAGCCATGCGCTCCCTTAATCGAACGCCATACAACGCATTGCGACATGCTTGGAGCTTGACTCTGGCATCAGCGAGGGCGTACTCTTCGGGACTGGATTCACTACTGGTAGTCGCGGAGACCAGCAGAGCACGAAGTTCATCGGATGACTGCGGACGCGCTCGTTCAAGAGCCTGAAGTCGTGTCATCTCACGCAAGTCCTCGAAAGGCATGTTGAAGAAGTGTACGCCAGTTTCCGTTCGTTTGTCGGCTGCACGCCAGTACAAGGGGCCAGGTGTCGCTCTTCCATGGCTGGGGTCAATTTTCGGTGGGCTGGCAATCTCAGTAGCGACCACTTCGTCCTCTGGTATTGGGCCTGGCGGGGCATGGTGATTGACTTGGAGACTGGCGTCATCACGACCAGAGCCAGAAGCAGTGACACTAGCTTGCGAGTCATCGACATCCATCATTTGAACGTCTTGGTCGGATACTGGCTGTTTACCCCGGTCACCAGCATCGTGCCCATCCGTGTCCATTTCGGTCGACTGGCATCTATTATAAGTCTTGAGGCGTTCTAGAATGAAGTCGGTGTCGACAACGTCCTCCATCGCCACCAGATCCTTTTCTCCGCCGCTCCTAACGATATCACTGACCGCTACGTGCTTTTTATCGGCGCCGGTATGCTCTTGAGAAATTGCGTCTCTGGTAATCTCTTTGTCCGGATCAGCTACCGCGGTATCGGGGGTGTGTTCGACTGAAACATCATCGGAGATGTCGTCTTCTTGAAGAGAGAGAGGTTCTGCGCTCTCCTCTTTCGCATTCTGACTCGCCGTAAGGCTGTTCGATCCTGTAGCCGGGACCCATACCTCAAAGCCGTATTTGTTTACACTCTTTACCAGAGGAGTAGTGGGTCCAGCTTCCAGTCGACCAGCTTTCTTCCGATGCGAACGTCTTGTTGGAGTCTCGGTCGTACTGTCCTTCTTTCCATTGCGTCCCCCTTTCTCACGCATTTGGCCCTGAAAGTGTTTGTCCCGGAGGTGATCCACAAGTTGTTGAATGCCTTGACCTTGTGGCGCACGCCGGTTCTCGGAATGCGGTACGCGCTCAGTGGGAGATTTTATGACTTTCTTTGCCTTGATATTCTTGTGTCGCTTCGGTTTGGGTTCGCTGAAGTTTGTACTGGGCAAATTTGTTTCACTGTTGCCGGGCTCATGCTTCTTAGCTGCTTGCTTCGGTTCTTTGTCACAAGACCGAGCTACTGGGACGCTGCTCTCACTTCCCATATCAATGACTTTCCTATCGGTAATAGCAAATTCCGATGTAGGAGTGCGAGGCCTCCTAGTCGAAAGGTTAGGATTGATGGCGGCCGGTGGAGAAAGTGATCGGCGGGGTGCTCTGGGGTTGGTTTCCTTTGCGACGAGCTTTCACGCACCGTGACTTCCAACCTGAGCGTCTCAAATTTCGGGGTTTGTTGAGCTTACGAGAGGCAGAGAGGTTATGATCAGTACACGAGTGCGTACAGAAGACTGGTGGTTCAGATAAGATGACGAGCAATGTCGACGATTTCCAGGACCGACTGGTCATAGCGGCTCGATATTGATATAGTGAATTTGCGTGCGGGAAAAACTCTGCACAGCCGATACAGGCCGTTGCAAGATTGAATTCGTCTCATGCATCGCAAGATGTCATGGACAATGTGAATGGTCATCGTCGCTGTCAAATGCGTTTGAAGTCCACACTTCGCTGAGAAAGAGGTAAAGACATCTGCTTATGGCAAGCATCACGAGGCCTCGGGTGGATTGTCAGATCCGCGGGCTTGGAAGTACATCCTCGAAGGTAGATGAAGATGCGCGGTTGTAGTTGCGGTGTTGTTGTCACCATGATGACGTCATCGCTACCGAAACTAGCGCCGATCTCGCGTGCGCGACACGCGTGCTTGGACCCTGAGTCCCAAACTTCACGACGTTCGATGAGGATCAAGGCTGCCATCTTTCCAACACGAGTAATTTCCTCATCATCGTCAATACTCGTTGTCGGACATGAATACCGGTGAATCATACACGCCCAACTTCTGTTCATGCGATTATACGAAGTTCTCCTGGCGCGCGATGCTCAGCACATGAAGGATTCGCACCATTTTTATTTATACCGTTAAGCGAAGACATTCTGCCCTCCAGCTAACAGCTAGGATCATACGTAAGGCTTCCTTGACCTGCTACCGATACTCAACACCATGAACCCGCGCCGAAACTCTTCACTCCGTCTCGAACCCACGAAACCTTCCTAGCCCCGACGCACCCTTTTCTTCCTCTCGAACATCGTCTTCCGCTCCTCCGCGTCCATCACGCCAGTTCCGCTCGGCTTATACATCGGCATGGCAGTCTTCACGCCAGACTCCATCCATCGTGCCCACCGGTTGTGCAAGTCCACGATGCCGTGATTACGCACAAAGGTCTCTAGGTCATGAAGCACTGCTTGTTCGGCGGTAGCATCCTTGTCTTCCTCGGCGGCTCGACGACGCGTCCACACGAGATGCATATACTCTTGACGCTCAGCGTCTGTCGTCAGGATCTGGCCCATCTCTTCCATAACCTGTCGTAGACTCGGTCCGGCGGTACCAGTGGTGATGATAGTCGTCGGCCAGATCGGAACCCCAGTCTTTCGAAGCTTTGACTTGGGGGGCTGGGTATTGGCTTCAACCGGAGTGGGCTTGGCAGGTCGCTTTCCAAGCTGCTTCTGAGACGGTCGTGAGACGTTCTTCAGGGTACCTTGCGAGCGCTTGCCCTTCACAGGGAGAGACTCCCCAAAGTCTCCGTCTTCTTTGTCATCGTCGGCCTCTTCGCTGCTGTCTTCGAAGTCTTCGCTGTCCTCTTCGGGCTCTTTTTCCGACCGGTTCTCGACTTGTCCCTCTATACCTCCCTCGTCATCTATACCCAAGAGACCAAAGAGCTCAGGATCTCCATCTCCTTTATTATCATCCTCCAAACGGGATGAGCCCAAGAAATCCGATGGGCCCGCCTCCGTGGCCTGAGCAGCCTCGATCTCGGCCTGGCGACGCCGGACCAAGGCTGCAAGGTCTTCAGACCCGGGCTTGCGTGTTCCGGTCGATGTAGAGTCGCCAGCAGTCTGGCCCGCAACCTCTTCCTCTGCATCGCTCCAATGCCCTTCGACGTCCTCTGGCTGTAGTAGTGTATGACCACCGATACGCATAGGACGTGTCATCGTTGTCGGGGCGGACAGAAATGCCTGGTTTGGAACGCGACGGGAATCCTTGGAAGCTGGTGCGCCAGGGAGTACGAACTGATGCCTCGGTGGGGTGCCCTGTGGGGTCGTCGATGGTTGTAGAGTCGTTGGCGTCGTCGATGGCGGCGGTACGTATACTGCTCGTTGACGTCCAGAAATCAGGTTCTTTGGCGTTGTTGCTAGACATCTAAGACGTTCAGCTTATTAGAGGTCAGTGATTGCTATTACGAGGGGACTGACTTCAGGGGCGATGCGCAAACGACCAAATAGTAAAGAACGCAATTGCTTACCATTATCAGCTTGAGCAGCAAGCTCGTCCTGCTTCTGCATCGCACGCATAGTCACAGCTGCTCGCCTATTCAGCTCTTCAAGTCCCGCATGGCGCCCCCATACAAGTCGACAGGTTTTCCAAGCATTCCTTGTCATCTGGAGGTCCTCATCGGTGTCCTCTTCACCCATGTTGTCCGGCATTGGGCCAGCAGGTTCCAACTTCCAGATCGGTATCATCATGGGAAGCTGCGTGAAACTGATGACTATTTTTCCCTCCTTCTCAACAAACATGCGAAGGATATCGGAGTTCTCGATGAGAATGGTGTCGGTGTCAATGTTGCCGGTGCATGACATCACAACCCTGATGACCTTCGTGGTGAAACCCTCGGACGGTGGGCTCTTAGCGATCCTGGTGATTGTAGCGGTCGCATTGTGAACATGCACAGGGCCATGCTGATTGTCTATATTCATGTCGGGGAAGGGGGTGTCTACCGGGACCTCCTGTGTAGACATGGTTACTGTTGTAGGCGCAGTGGAGAGCAAAGATGGCTGCAGGAACAAGTGGTAAGAGTTGATAGCGATCTTTGTTCTCCGTGGGGGCATAGTGCTCCAATGTACGGTGGGGTGGTGGAGAGATTGCTCTCGCACCGTCAAGTGTAAGGTGGTTTGCGTCTTTCATTGAGTACCCTGCACACTTTTTTGGGTCGTAGAGCACTTGACGATCTGTTCTGGAACTAGCAACATCGGTACCTGGAGTCCCAGGGGTCATGAGCGCTTCGCACTTCATACTCGCATCACCTCCGGATACAGTTCCGTCTAATGATGTGACTTATTCATCGCTTGCGCTATCGACCACCAACAAACAAACACTGTTTATCGACATCACCCTTCACAACGCCGTCAATCGAGGTCATTCCATGAGTATGCGCGATTCCACGAGCTTCTCTTAGCTACTACAACCCAATGAAGACCAAGCAAAGCGTGTCCAAATGATCAGCTCGACCTTGCGCGATTTCACCGAAATGGAATACACTAAGCAGGCGAAAGTCTTTCGCCCAAGCTGGTACACCATCCCAGCAATCCTTTCCACAATCCAGTCGTATACTTCGGCCCTGGAGTGGTTCTACTATCTAACCTTTATCTCGCACATATTATGCAAGTCGGACTCAGCCCACATAGCCAAAGCCCACCTCATCTCCTTTCTGCGAGCTCGTCCACATATTCAGATGTGGCACGAAGCTTTGCTCTCCGAGATGTACGACGAGGACGAACCAAACCTGCCGTCGATACTGGAAAGTACGAACACCTTGCATCCCTTGACACAAAGGTTCCACGAGTATTCCACGCAGAGATTCTCGTTGATGACGAGAGAGGATGTCTTCGTCGCGCGATGCGTGGTAGTTGACTTCATCTACAGGCGTTTGGACGAGGCGCAGAAGGCAGCTGAGCTGGCGAAGGATGCGCAGACCAGGAAAGTCCTGGAACAGCAGGGTATGGATGTAAGGCAGCGCGAGCAGGCTCGCAGAGGTTTTGAGGCTTCTTGTCTCCGCTTTGGCAGTACCGTGCTGGACAAACCTGCTGTCGGTCAAATTGGTGTCCTCGATCTTGCTGCTCTCTTGGCTGTGTTGTCTTTGCAATCACCTCTTGACCTACCCGTCACACCCGAACCTGTATTTGCTGCAACTATAACGCCTGTTCAGCAGGTATCATGGCTGAAGGGTCTTGCGCGTAGTTTGGCTCAGCTTGCGATAGAGTCCGCTCCATCCTACACTTACTTGGCAGCGTAGCCCTGTTGTACGACAAGCTCTGGCATAACTGCCTGCGCAATCATTGAAACTAACTTTGATGTTTCGCTCGTATAGGACAATGAAATGAGGTCAGATAATGAGGCCAAACAAGCAATAGTCAACTTACCACAAGGTAAGTGCCAGTATTTATTGGAGTGACGAGTTACCTTCTCTTTTGCTTCTCAAACTCCTTCAATACTTGAATATATATATTACATTACATCTCTTGCTACCCAGCTGATCAGCCAGGTGCTGTGCTTTTGATCCTCACTGCCGACCCGTCACACTCCTCGCCTCACAAGAAGATGAAGCTTGCGATACCTTGCTTTGAGACCTCCGCAGCGCTCCGCGGGGGTTGCGACCCTTGAGAAGCTCTCTCAATTCACCGCTTGCATCATTGTGGCCCTACCTTGGCGATGTGAATGAGATCATTCTTCGCCGCTTCTATTGACCGGGAGCGATCATAATCTGACTCTTGTTCTACTCAACCAATTTCACTCTTGAGTTCAGAGCTGATAAACCCCTTATAAACGGCCTTTTACCTTCCACCACTTTAACCACTATCAGAAGCTTTCAACAGAACATCACATTCAACAGCCAACCGCACCGAAAACGCACATAATCGGTTGTAACGGTAGAAATGTTCGAGACAATGAACACACACACGTCCTGTTACACCAACAGTATCCTCCAAAGACTCAAGGATATCATTGGTCTCAATGACTTCCTACAGTACGGAAACATCATCACTCGAGTCTTCCGATGCAACATCAGCGGATCCGGCTCTTCACCAGCACTGTTTCGCATGCTCAACCCCAACTCAGATGCGATCTTCCTCCACAACGAGATCGCAGTCATGACGAAGACCGGGATAGAAAAATACAACCTTCCAATATTCGAGGACAAGAAGAATGGCGCGAACTCTTCACGCTATTCCGCGAGCGCAGACGATAGCTATGGCCACCAGCTATTTGATGTCGTAGATCAGTTCGCGGGTACGGAAGGAGCACGACCAGCTGATGCGCATACCGCGCGATCGCAGGTCATGCGGTGTGTGGAGATGGTGCACCAGGAGCAGCAGAAGATCGAGCAGGCAGTCGACGACGTTGCGGCGGGGCTTGCATCAATGGGGGTGAATACCATGGCGACGGATGCAATGGAGTTTTGACTCAGCTTCAGAGTTCGATGGGTGAAGGCTAGAGGTAACATATATGTGCGGATGATAAGAATGGTACAGGTCATAGCAGCGGGAAGACGATATACACGTTGCAGTTCATCAAGTACATATAGCATGCATGGCCCGGAGGCACACAATTCAGTCTTTCAGTCAACATTGGTCATCACAAAGGCATCATTCGAGTGTTCAAAGAGTGTATACATGAATTTTTGAGACTTACAAGGGACCAGCCCCAGCTCACAACTAGCTAATGATCATCAAGGTGAGACTTACGGACGGCCAGCGCCCAGCTCACCACCAGCACCCAGAGACCGGAAACCACCACACCACATCTCCGCCGCCGCCACCACCACCACTCACTCCTTCTTGACCACCTTCTTGGCCGTCACCGGCACCCGACCCTTCATGTAGAAGTCAGCTCCAAATCTCTCCACCTCCTTGGTGAGACTTGAGTGACTCCTCAAAGGCCGAGCGCCGGCCGTACCCGCGAGAACCTTGCCGCCGAAGGTCTGGTTGAACGCCTCAACGAAGGCCTTCCACCCCTTGGTGGGCTTGCCGGCGGTGAGGTTGGCGAGGATCCACTTGCGCTCCTCCGCCACGTAGGCCTGGACGACCTCACGGAACCGGACGCTGGTGTTGCGCCGAATCTGCTGAACAGTGCGCTTGTTCAGCGCCGTGATGGCCTCCTGCGAAGACCAGTTACGAGGGGGAGGGTTGGCGAAGATGCGCTTCTTGCCGTTCTTGTCGAGGAGCTTGACGACCAGCTTGTGCTTCTGGTCGAACGCGGTGCCGTCGGCAAGAAGCTCGAAGCGACCAGGGACAAACTGAGTGAACTCAGGGTTCGCCTTGAAGTTGTCGACGTCGGCGTAGTCGGTGGCGTATGCGCCCCAAGTGACGTTGCGGAACAGCTCTGGCTTGGTGGTGTCTTTGACGTCGCCAGCGACGTCGCCCACGTCCGAGTCGTAGTACTCGTTGCCGGCCTTGGCGGCGGTGGCGATGAGTGCTGCGTGGTCAGCCCTCTTCGGATCCAGGATGCGCTTGTTGCGCTTCATGGTGGGCGCGGAGATGGGCAGAGGAGGTTGGGCGGTCTGCTTCATGCGACGCTTGGGCGGCATGATATCGGCCTCGGAGTCGTTTTCGTCCTCAGAGTGAGTGACGAGCTGATCGATCTTGCGCTTATGGCCAGCGCCAGCAATGGGGGTGGGTGAAGAAGGATGAAGGGCGGATTGGATGCAACGCAGTTTGAGCTTGAGACCTGAGCGACCAGACTCTGCGTTAGGGGGGCCGACAGCCTGGCTCACGGGAATGGGAGTGGAGTCGACCGCGGTGGTGTTTTTAGGGCGCCTGATCTTGAGCTTGAGCAGACGAGGGCGACCAGAGCTGTAAGGAGCAGACGGAGAAGGAGCGCCAGTGGAGCGAGGGCCGAAGGTGTGTCCAGCACGAGCAGCTCCCATGTGTACATCGATCGGTGAGGCCTGCTCAACCGAAGGGAGGATGACGGAAGGTGACCTTGTGGGAGTCGTAAAGGGATCTCTGGGATGAGCGTGACGAAGTCCAGCCAAGATGGTGGCAGCTTCAAGCATGCCGGGTGAGACCAGCTCGACCGAGGGCAGAGTAGAGGAAGACATGATGATGGAAAGGTATCGTAAAGAGTAATGGGTATCGTAAAGATTGAAAGATGGAAGTAAGAAGCTGAGTGCTGACGAATGTATGGTAACGTGCTGGAAACTGAGAAAGTCGTAATGAGAAAATAGAAGAAGCTGAGTAGTCTGACGATAGAGGCTGCCAAGGGGGAGGGCAGTTTAAGTATGAGGACTGCTGTCGACGGCTGCAACTTTGTCTCATTAAGCTGCTATTGTCTCGAGGTGAGCTGCACGAGTTTCTGCCGTCTTGCCCCAATCGGGTGGTGAAGGCTGGTAATTCCTATTGTGAGTCGTAGTGAAGACGCAGAATCGACCCATTTTGAGCGCGTTCACTTCGCGGAACAATAGGATTGTGCTGAGAAGCGGTTGAGACGGGACAAGTAGAGGTGACCTGCGATAGTTCCAGACGTCAGAGAGCCATCTGATAGCCAAAAATGGCTTTCTCGGCACATCAATACTGGACTTCTCCATTGTGAGCGGGCGTTCATGAGACTCATTGTTTCGATTATGATAGCTCTTGATGCTGCCTCGTGTTCCGGGATTTTGCTCCCATCAGACCCTTTCACCTTCACTTGGTCGCCGCGTTCCCCTTGGTGTGGATGGTGCGAACATTGTAGTTTTTGCAGCAGCCAGGACGCATATGGTTCCTTGCCGTATCAGGTCCATAGCTCTTCAGATCCTTCTTCTCAAATGAGCCGCGCAATTCCGTATGAATAGAGTAAGGTGGTGTAGTGGGCGCAGCTCGTACGTGACGATATATGGTGATGGCTCGTGAGCCCGCTAGCGCCAAAGATGGTTAGGGTGGTTGATGACATCATCCATTGGATATCTCTCTAGCCCTCGTG